ATTGGACCACAGTTAAATTGATTAAGCTATATAAAGTGCCATCTAAATCTATTTTATAATTTTCCTTCGGAGTGACACCATTGAAAAGAGGCCTTGAAAAACAGTGTTTCATTGCATTGTTTTTCTTCCTATCTACCTGGATAAAATATTTACCAGCCTGGAAAAATCTGGCCAAAAATATGGCTCTGATAATGCAGGGTCTTTTAATTCGATTTTTAAAGGATTGAAAATTAAGATGTCTTATGAGTACTCTGAAAGGCAGCTTTTTTCTTTGTTCCCTCACCTCTTGCCACCCTCAGATGAAGGGAAATTGAAGCTTAGTTCTGCATCTTTAGCTGCTCAGCACCATCTGCTCATCAGTTACACTGCCCTTCCAACCAGTGGTATCACAGTGATGTGTATCGGTTGAGGATTATTATTCTTTTCATTCTTTTTTATATTTATTTTTATTCTGTTGAACATTTAAAAAATATATTGGTTTTTATACTGTTTCAAAAGAGGGAATTGCTATCACTTCATTTTAAATGTCTTGTGTACAGTTTCATCTTGCTGTCTGCCATGGTGCCCGAAACAAAGCTGATTCTGAATAAACAAAGAACATTGATGTCTTGATATCTTGTTTCTGAGTATGTCTGGTCACCTCTTGAGTACCTTATTTCTGGTGCTGCCATATTATAATTACTCTACAAATGTTCCTAAAAATAAAGAAAAATAGAATAACTCATTTTTAGGCACTTTCTTTATCAATAGGACCTAAAATAATATACAGACATAAATGCCTTGATTCTGAGGTGCCTTGTTATTAATGATAAATAAATTAGATCTCAACTTTTTTTTTTTTGGTCAGGGGAGACGGAGTCTCGCTCTGTTACCCAGGCTGGAGTGCAATGGTGCAACTTCAGCTCACTGCAACCTCTGCCTCCCAGATTCAAGTGATTCTCCTGCCTCAGCCTCCTGAATAGCTGGGATTTCAGGCACTTGCCACCATATCTGGCTAATTTTTGTATTTTTAGTACAAAATGCAAAATTTTGTCACTAATTTTGTCCACTGCGTGGACCAGGCTGGTCTCAAACTCCTGAGTTTAGGTGATCCACCCGCCTCAGCCTCCCAAAATGCTGGGATTACAGTCATGAGCCACTGTGCCTGGCCCCAACATTTTTTTTCTTTCCTTTTTTTTTTTTTTTTTTTTGAGATGAGGTCTCACTGTCACTCAGGTTGGAGAGCTGTGGCACAGTCTTGGCTCACTGCAGCCTCTACCTCCCAGGTTCAAGCAATTCTCTTACCTCAGCCTCCGAGTAGCTGGGATTACAGGCACCCACCACCACACCCAGCCAATTTTTTTGTGTTTTTAGTAGAGATGGGGTTTCACCATGTTGCCCAGGCTAGTCTTAAATTCCTGACCTCAGGTGATCCACCCACCTTGGCCTCCCAAAGTGCTGGGATTACAGGCATGAGGCACTGCGTCCGGCTGGCCCCAACTTTTTAATCTTACAAATGCCCTTCTGTAGGTTGAAGAAAATATTTACCCAAATTTCAATTGTTTAGCTTCTTTGTTTTTGTTACATACATGATTTACCCAGCTTTGAAATTGTCACTAGTGCTAAGGACCCAACATCAAGAGCTTTGGGTATCAAGGAAGGTGCAGGAAAACTGGGAAAGACATTTCTCCCAACATCTGACTAAGCTGGTAGCCCCGTGGAGAGAGGAAGTGGATAAGGAGGGTATCCAGAATTCTGAAAGGGTAAGAGTGGTGTGGAGAGCAGGAATACTAAAAGTCAGTGAAGCTTGAATTTAGACATCAGCCTAGGATGATACTTAGTTTATCTTTACTTTGGCTGTCAGGCATGTCAACATCCTTCCATGTTTAAGGAAGTCTCCATCCATGTGTTTTAAGGGATCCCCTTAGAGGAGCTCAAAATTTGCTTTTACAGCCTTTCTTAGAGCTAGGATGTGGGTACCTCATCTAGAAGCCACCAATCAAGTGAACTTGTCCCAGACATTGAAGCAGAAACTATAGTAGTAAAGTGGGACCAAGTTACACCTGTCCTGGTGGGTGGAGGGAGTGGGGTGGACCTGTTGGCATGCAGAAATCCATGTTGGCAGTTACCTTTAGCAGGCAGCACTTCTGGAAGTAGTTCCTGATGTCTATTGTGTGGATGATGGCATGAAAGCCACTATCTCTGTGCTTAGTTGTGCTGGAAATGGTATTTTCAGTAGATTTGTTCTGCCTTATGATTTTGGTAGGTGATTATGTTAGTTATCTGTTGCTGCATAGCAAATTACCCCAAAATTTGGCAGCTTAAAACAAACATTGAATATCCCATGGAACCTGGGTATGGCTTAGCTGGGACCTCTGCTCACTATCTCTCTAGAGGCTGTAATTAAGGTGTCCTCTGGGGCTGTAGTCTTCTTCTCACGGCTGGACTCAGGGAGGCTCTGCTTCCAAGATTACTTTAGAGCTTGTTGTTGGCACATTTCAGTTCCTTTCAGGCTGTTGGCTACTGGGGTCTCTCCAGAGCACAGCTTAACACCTGTGTGTGTGTGTGTGTGTGTGTGTGCGGGGGGGAAGAGAGACAGAGAGAGAGAGAGGCACAGAGAGACAGGAAGAGAGAGAGAGAGAGACAGAGAGAGACAGAGAGAGACAGTGAGCACTCCAGGAAAGGAGAGAAGTTTGGGGAAGCAAGCAAGAAGGAATAGTGTTCCTATAACCTGATCTCAGAAGTGACCTGCCATCACTTTTGCTGTACTCAGTTTATTAGAAGTGGAGCACTAGGTCCAGGCCATGCTCAAAGGGAGGGGATTGCAGAAGGGCTTGAATACTGAGACAGGAGACATTGGTACTATTATAGAGGCTGCCTACCGCAGTGGCTTGGCCTCTTAGCCTCAGAGCCTGGTTCTGCCCTAGCTCCCACCCTCTGATTCTGGAAGCAATTCAATATTTTGATAATAAATATTCCTTTCTGCTTGCAAGAAAGAAGCCTTATGATATAGATAGCTGCCCTCGAAGCCTTTCTCAGGCCCCTGGGCCTTACCCGCTGCTGCTCTTTTTAGTTTACATTTACTGTTTTTGGATATGATTTCGGAAATGCAGGAAAGGAGAATGTAAATTTCACTCACAGTACTACTACAAAGAGATAATTACCCTTAACAATTGACCATATTTATTTTTAGACTTTTTTGCTATTTTTTAAAAATCACTGAGGTAATATTGTGTGTCTAATTCTATAACTTGATTGTCTTACTATCTTAGAAGAATGTTCCCTATGAAAAAGCCCCTGATTTTTAAAGTGTGTGCTTGAGTAAGTCAAGAGTGGCCTGGTCCTGGGGGAGGTGCTCAAGCTGGGCAGGAGTCTCCCTGCTTTGTCTGTGAAAGAGAGCTTGCTAAATGCAAAGTGGGGCCTTAGTATTAAAGACACATGTAACCCGCTTAGGTGAATAAACTGCTCTGAGGGACATTAACATGCTTGTTGTTGTCTTAGTCCCTTTGGGCTGCTATAACAAAACCACCTTAGACTGGGCAACTTATCAACAACAGAATTCATTGCTCATGGATCTAGATGCTGGGATCTAGATCTAGAAGTCCAAGATTAAGGTGATGGCAGATTTAGTGTCTGGTGAGGGCCTGTTTCTCATAGATAGTACCTACTATTGGTCCTCACATGACAGAAGGGGCAAGGGAGCTTGTTGGAGCCCTCATGACCTAGTCACTTCCCAAATGCCTCACCTCTTAATACTGTCATATAAGTTATTAGCTCTAATACATGAATTTTGGGGGATACCAACATTCACACCATAGCAGTTGTACATAATGGGATGGAGTGGTAGTTGTGATAAGTCATCTATTCTTTTTTAAATTTTTAACAAAAATAGACATGGAGTTTTACTGTCTTGCCCAGGCTGTTCTTAAACTCCTAGCCTTAAGCAATCCTCCTGCCTCGGCCTCCCAGGGTGTTGGGATTACAGGCACTAGGGGCACTAGGCCATCATGCGCAGCCAAGTCATCTATTTTTTGTGGGGGCTTCACTTTGTCACCAGGCTGGAGTGCAGTGGTACAAACATGACTCACTGCAGCCTCAACCTCCTGGGCTCCAGTCATCCTCCTGCCTCAGTCTCCCGTGTAGCTGGGATCGTAGGCACATGCTACCATGCCCTGCAAATTTTTTGGTTTTTTGTAGATACAGAGTCTTATTTTGTGGCCCAGGCTGGTCTTGAAATCTTACAGTCAAGCGATCTTCCCATCTCAGGCTCCCAAAGTACTGTGATTACAAGCGTGAGCCACTGGGCCTGGCTCCAGGTTCCAAGTCATCTATTCTTAAATAGAAGCCTGGTTTGAGTTTTTTAACTATAGTATCTCTAATTAATTATATTTAATTGAAAGTAATGAGACTTCCCTTTTCTGAAAGTCTCTACTTTCCCTTATTTTGCCCCTAATTCAAACTATCTGCTTTCTACTCCGTGTAATGATTAGCCAAAGATGGCACATTTTATTTTCATTTTTTACTTTTCAAAAATGATTTTTAATTGTAGTAAAATACATGTGACCTACAATCTACCTAACATCTTAACCATTTTTAAGTGTATACAGTAAACTGCTTTTAAGTGTGTTCAATATTATTAAATACATTCACATTGTGTGCAACCAATCTCTAAAACTCTTTGTCTTGTAAAACTGAAACTCTATACATATTCAGCAACAACCCATCTACCTTCAGCCCTTGGCCATTACCATTCTACTTTCTGTCTCTATGAATTTGATCTAAATGGAATCATGCAATACACTTGCTTTTATGTCTACCTTATTTCAATTAGCTTAATGCCATCAAGATTCATTCATTCTGTAATATGTATGAGAATTTCTTCTTAAAGGCTAAGATTCCATACTATGTATATATATTTTTTGTTTATCCTTTCATCCATCAATCGATACTTGGGTTACTTCTCCTTTTGGCTATTGTGAATTTATTCTCATTTTTAAATGGGATGTTTTGTTCCATTTCAGGGTAAGAAGTTGCCTTATCACCTTGGGGATGATGCAGAGGAAGGGGAAGTTTCCGATGAGGACAGTGCAGATGAAATTGAAGATGAGTGCAAATTCAAGCTCCATTATGTAAGTTGCAAGCATGACCATATTTTTTATCTTTGATATGCTGTATTAAAATGGAGCTCCAAGTTGCCACCATGTTGGAAGCCTCATAATTACTGTGGCTGTGGTATAGAAAGGATATTAATTGAAAATTACTTTGTTTGCTGGCACACAGACAGTTGAGTGTTTGTTGAATGAATGAGTCAAGATTTCTTGTGTTTGAGTGTTGGAAGGAATTTTAGTGATTAATTCATACAACCCTCTCTCCAGGGATAAATTTTTTATTACAAATTCAAAAATCAAATTGTGGTTGGAAATGTTACTGTCTTTGATAATAAAAGCTGGCTTTACTTTAGCATTGCCTTCCCCACCTCATGCTAGCAGCCCCACCATGCTCCCTGTCAAGGCTAGCTGGAGGAACCCTACCTGCATGTGGGCCTGCTTCCCTGGGATGCCCAACCGCTCTCTAAGAAAATGTACCTTGAACCAGAGGGATTTCCAAGCCCTTCCAGACATGGAACTCTTGGCTAAATCTTTAATTTCCAAGTCTTCAATAAAGTGGCATAGAATAATTACTTGCTTGGTATGTCAGCCCTCTTTTCTAGATGAAGGAGCTTCCTTTGTAGGAAAGCATCATTTAGCTAGGCGATCCAAGGGAAATACAAACCTGAGGGAAACGTAAGACTTAAAAAGATGCCTCACTGTTCCTTTCTATAACTCATGTGACTGCTCAAATCACACAGCAACCTGAGAGTAGCACACGCTAATGATAGTTTGGTATAGAATTTTATTTCTACATAAAACGGTTAGTCCTCTAGGTATCAGGACTATGATTCTGCCCTCTAAAAAAAAACAACAGAGAAATTTTGTATAAATTCTTGTGATTTACACCATTGCCCTGAATTCAGTTATGACATTGTTAACAACAGTTCACTCTTCCAGATAATTCTGTGATGCCTTTCTTGTAGTTGTGAAAATGAGCTGACATTATTTTCAAAGGAGAGAAGAGCTTAATGACAACTGAAGTTTCAGCAGACACTTCTTTCTTGGCTTTAATGCCCTTTAAATGGGCTAAATGGAGAAGATTCAGCTTGAAGTGGAAAGGAAAAATTACAATCTGTATTATTCTCTTGCCTTTTAATAGTTTATGTTAGCAAAATTAAATACCATTAATTAATAGGACTATGGTTACAGAAAATCTAAATAGATTTATATGATTGAATACTATGTTATGTAATTATACAGTTAATACTTTAAATGGTTGCTTTCTTCTCTTCTAGGTATTTATTTTTATAATCAATTATTTATGATTATGGATAATTTAGCTTTGTTTTGTTTCGTTTTGTTTTGAGATGGAGTTTTACTCTTGTTGACCTGGCTGGAGTGCAATGGTGTGATCTTGGCCACTGCAACCTCCGCCTCCTGGGTTCAAGTGATTCTCCTGCCTTAGCCTCCCAAGTAGCTGGGATTACAGGCATGTGCCACCCAGGTTAATTTTGTATTTTTAGTAGAGATGGAGTTTCTCCATGTTGGTCAGGCTGGTCTTGAACTCCTGACCTCACGTGATCTACCCACCTCAGCCTCCCAAAGTTGGGATTACAGGCATGAGCCACCGTGCCCAGCCAATTTAGTGCTTTTTGTTGTTGTTGTTTTTCAGCATTCCTTTATAAACCAGATTTTTGTCTCTAATTTTTATAATTTTGTGTTTTGTTTTCTAGATCTCTTGGTTGCCAGCCATAATGTAGATCTGTCATTCACTCAGCTACTTCATTTTTCTTCTGTTGCCAGTGAGCCCTCCAACTTCCTACATTCAATATATGTAATTATACAAAAAATAGTTAGCTAGAGTCTTATGGGAACAAATAAATAATTTCACCTGTGAAGCATCCAACTGGATTCCTCTTTTCTTCACTAAGAGTAGTTGATTTCTAGAAACTCACATCAGGAGATGTTTTAGAACATGATTCCATGGAGTTAGATAGCATCTTTCATTTAGATTCTTTGGTTTGGCCCTAAGTGAAAGTAGAGCACCTAAACTGTAAAGGTTTACAGGTGTCTCTTTGTTATATTTTGGCAGAGGAAAGAAAGAAATCAACATTGGAGAAATATTTTGTAGAAGTTTTTGCTCTACCATTTCAAACTGGTTTTTGCTATTTTTGAGCTCTTCTGAGAAAAGGCAATGCTGTGTTTAGAAAGCCAAAGTGTTATCTTGTTATCAGACCATTTATAGTCCTGTTGTTGGCAGAGAGCTCAAATGCCTTATCTGAGTGGCGAATTTATAATAAATTGCCTGATAAATGAAATGCCTGATTATATTTCTGCAAAAGAGGGTGTACTTTGGATAGTTTATGTGAACCAATAATTATGTTAGAGGAAGCTCTTAACCTCAGTTTTAAATTGACAGAATGTGGTTAGATTTATAAGTTATATCTGAATTATTGCAATAAGCACAGATTTTAACTTTGCATTTATTTACACTGGAACACCAACTCTCATGAGGTCATATGAAATTCATTTGTACCTTCAATAAAATTTATTAAACATTCCTGTTGGACATGTGCTCATCACTGTTGTAGGTACTGGAGAATATATCAGTAACAAAATAGACAAGAATCCTTGCCTCCATGGAGTTTACACATCAATGGGAGAGGAACAAGATAGACAAGAAACAAGACAAATAAATAAAATATATGGTGTACTGGACAGTGATCTGTGCTAAAGGGAAAAAGCGTGTGTGTGTTTGTGTGTGTGTGCGCACTTACGCATGTGTATATATGAGGGATCTGTTGAAGTTGTAGATGGAATGTCTAGGAAAGGCCTCACAGGGAAGATGCATTTGAACAAAGAGCTAAAAGAAATGAAGAGTTAGCCACGCTGATACCTGAGGAGGAATGTTCCAGGCAGAAGGAACCCCAAGCACAAAGGTCAGAAGTGGGATTTGAGGACAAGACTTCTGTTACTTTTATCAAACAGTTTAAGACATACTGTAAGTTTTTTGCTTATGTAATAAATGCTTCTGTTGTTGAATGAACTAAACTTTTTAAGCTTCTACGACATAAAGAACTAAACTTTTTAAGCTTCTTCTTTTATTTTGTGGCTCCAGCCATAGAGAAAATCTGGCTCATAATGGATAAGCCACAAGGTAAAGCCAGTGTGTTCAGTGACCCAAGAATCATACAACTCAGAGACACAGAGGACAACTTCCTTTCAACCACAGAGTAGTAACCTAACAGAATTGATTCTGTGAGGTACAGGCACCATTATTCATCTTTATGGGTCTTCCAGTGTCAGTGTGCTCTACACACTTTCCACTTCTGTATTTCAACTTCACTAATTTTTTTTCTGCTTCTGCTGAGTTATGTAATATCTTTTTTCTTGTGCTCTCTAAATCTGTTTAGCCAGCTTCTCAGTCATACCCATTAGCTCTTTTTCTCCTACATAAAGCTTATCCTATAAACACCAAGCCTTCCAGCAAGTTCTAAAGGAGTCCTAGTGCAGTGACATGTAGCAGTTTTTGTCTTATACTCTAAAACCATTATCCAATCTGCATGTGTATGTCTTTCACTAATCATTTTAATCATTTTCCTCCCTCATCTTTTTTTCTAAGTCATTCATTTTATGCTTTGAGCTATCTTAAGAAGGATTTTGATTCTTGGTTTAAAAGATATCAGCACTCAAAGACGAAATGAGTTACCTCTTGAGGTTGTAAGGTCTTGCTACTGAAAGCGTTATATTGAGTCAAAAAGCCCACGTGCTGCACATGCTGGTACATCCTGGCAACAAGGGGTAGGGAATAAACAAGGTGACTTGGAATCTCCCTGGAAGATTCTAGTTGTTTCTAATACGTGGTTTATGACTGGTCCTTGAACAAAAGAATATGTTGTTAAGTGAGCTAAAGGAGTAGGCAGGAGACAGTAGAGAACAGGAATAAACACACAGACTCAAATGGCTGAGAAGCAGCTGTTCTTCAGCTAAGACCTTCAGGTAATGAGCTTAGAAAGCTGTAAGGCACTCAGAAAAGGCTGCAATATATTATTCTTCCCATCTTTGGACTTTAGCCAAAGGAAGAAAAAATTGAGGGAGATGTTGAAATACTTCAGTCAGTTTTGAGTTTTTTTCCTTTTTTTTTTTTTTTTTCTTTTTTTAAGCAAAGGTCCTCAACTTGGGCCACACATTGGCTGATGGGTAGCTTAAAATAACCCCAGTGTCCGGGTCTTGGCCCAGAGTTTCTGATATACAGGTCTGGGGCACAGCCTGGGATTTCTGAGCACTCCACTGGTGATTGCAATGTGTGGTGCAGGTAGAGTTTGGAAGTTCTCTTTCAAGGAGCAACACCCAAAGTCTCGCCTTTCCTGCATCTTTCAAGTCTGGAATGATGGTCGTGGTTTGGGGCATCCTTCTGCATGTTAAGCCATAATTTAGTTTAATGCTAGAGACAAAATGAGAATGTGTTTAATGTATCTACTTGTGGTAGAGAGATTCCTAGATCAGAAAAGGGAATTGGGAACCCTGATTACTTCTCTGACAGAAACTACCCATCATATGAAATAACTGCTCTCTTCTGACTCCCAGCTGCAGTGTCCTTCCTCATCCACTGGCCCAGAGAACAAAAGAGCGAGATACATATGGCTTTCAGCTGTGGTCCCTGCTGCAGCTGCACGGTGCCTGATAGGTCTCCAGGTCAAGTGTCTGTCTCAGCTTCCTTTCAGTAGTGCTTTTGGATTCCAGGGCCGAATTATAATACATTAATGAAACCTTAGCCACACATTTATTTGTTCTTCACAGCTGCCAATTTTCTTGTGCTGTAAATCACAGAGAAGAAAAAGATCAACAGGCATAGATATCATTGATTTAGGAGCTCCCAGTGTTTGGAGGATATGAAGTGAATAATTATAGCCTTTGTGTTAAGCATTCATTATTTTACCAGCTCTGGGTCAGCTATGACTTTGTATTTTGAGCCTCGCCTTGCTGACAGTGAAAGCGACTTGGTGTCATGGCCAAGTAAGATCATCTCCTTACTGTCTCTGCCTGTTTGTGAGGCCCTGAGTGAAGGAAGGAAATGGATGCTCATTCAGAGCATTCTGTGTGACAGGGGGCACCCTAGGTGCTCTCACATGCTTTTTTTTTTTTTTGTCCTCTTAACAAATACACACCCTATTGGGCTCTGGGTCTTGATAAAAATGCATTAAGGGTTAGAGATGTGGAGTTTTTAAGAAAAGAAATCCAAGAAGGATTTGCTCTTGACCTGAAGTGAAATTGTTTTCCCCAGAGGAATTATGATGATGTATTTTCTTGGTTCCATGATAGAAATAATGGTAGTTTAAAATATGAGTCTAAGCATAATTACTTTGACTAAAGAATTTCTCTTTTTTTCTGTAACAATGTGAGAGGGATGGCTGCTGCATTGTATGGAAAAATAGACACAATCTTGAACGGGAAGTCTTAGGAGTTCCAGCTGCAGTTCAGCCATTTTCATAGGTATGTGTGTTCGGTTGAGTGGCTGAACCTTTCTGCCTGTGTCATTATGAGAAAGAATTGGCTAACTTGAGTGTTTTGCCTTAAATGGGATTCAGCAGCTCAAATGAAGTACCTTTTTTTTTTTTTAAGAGGCGGAGTCTTGCTCTGTTACCTAGGCTGGAGTGCAATGGTGAGGTCTCTGCTCACTGCAGCCTCTGCCTCCTGGGTTCAAGCAATTCTCCTGCCTCAGCCTCCTGAGTAGCTGGGATTACAGGAGCCCACCACCATGCCCTGCTAGTTTTTGTATTTTTGGTAGAGATGGGGTTTCACCATGTTGGCCAGGCTGGTCTCGAACTTCTGACCTCGTGATCCGCCCATCGTGGCCTCCCAAAGTGCTGGGATTATAGGTGTGAGCCACTGTGCCAGGCCAAATGAAGTATCTTTACATGACAGAGCTTTGGGAGCCTTAGCACAATGCAGTGTCCCCTTTATTTGTGGGTTTGCTTCCTGCAGTCAATCGTGGCCCAAATTATTGAATGAAAAATTCTATAAACAATTTGTTAAGTTGTGAATTATGCACCATTCTGAGAAATGTGATGAAATCTTGCACTCTCTATTATACCCCACCTGGCATGTGAATCATCCCTTTGTCCAGTGTATCTACCTGTTACTATGTAGGAAAAAACAGCATACATAGGGGTCAGGACTATCCATGGTTTTCAGCATCCAATGGGGATTTTTTTTTGATGTATCTCCCATGCATAAGTGGGGATTATTGTGTACAATCTTCATTGCTTTTTCTATATTTCCTTGTGGCTCTTTTCTCCTTGCTCATATGATCACTGGTTCTTTTGATACTTTTTGTTTTCTGCATGCTTTTCCTCACATTGAAATGCTGTCCTTCTACCCTTTGCCAGATGATCAGCTCTTATTCATTGCAGTGGGTTGATTCGTGGCCACTGAAATATAGGTTCAAGTCTTAATCCCTGGTACCTGTGTATAGGACCTTACTTGGAAAAAGGGTCTTTGCAGGTGTATTTAAGTTAAGGACCTTACGATAATATAATCCTGGGATAACCATGTGGGCCTAAATCCAATTAAAAGTGTCCTCATAAGAAGAGAAGACATCTGGAAACCATCATTCTCAGCAAACTGACACAAGAACAGAAAGCCAAACACCACATGTTCTCACTCATAGATGGGTGTTGAACAATGAGAACAGGTGGACTCAGGGAGAGGAGCATCACACACGGGGGCAGTTAGCGGGGTAGGGAGAGACAATGGGAAGTGGTGAGGGTGGGGAGGGATTACATGGGGAGAAATGCCAGATATAGTATGCACCTAAAGTCAAAAAAAAAAAAAAAGAGAAGACACAAATAAATGGGTGAGACGTGCACAAGAAGACCATGTAAAGACAGAGGCAGAAATTGGAGTGATGCTGCCATAAGCCAAGGAATATATGCAGCTATCATAAGCTGGAAGAGGCAAGGAAGGATCCTCCCCTAGAGCTTTCAGAGGGAGTAGAGCCCTGCCAACACTTAGATTTCATACTTTTGGCCTTCAGACCTGTGAGAAAATAGGTACATTTCTATTGTTTTAAGATACTAAGTTTGTAACAATTTGTTGTTATAATGGTCACAAGAAACTTTATTTTATTTTATTATTATTTTTTAGAGGCAGGGTTTCACTCTGTGGCCCAGACTGGAGTGAAGTGGCATGATCATAGCTCACTGCAGCCTCAAATTCCTGGGCTCAAGGGATCCTTCCACCTCAGCCTCCCAATTAGCTAGGACTACAGGTGCATGCCACCATGCCTGGCTAATTTTTTAAATTTTTGTAGAGACAGGGTCTCACTATGTTGCCCAAGCTGATCTCAAACTCCTTGGCTCAAGTGATCCTACTAGTTTGGCCTTCCAAAGTGCTGGGATTATAGACATGAGCCATGGCACCTGGCCAAGTCACAGGACACTAATATACTCATCTTTTAAGGCTTGACTCAGGTGTCTTCTACTCCTGGAAGTGTCTCCCAATTCCCGAAGGCTGGACAAGGTGTGCCTCCTCTGTGTGTGTATGCTACCTCTCACACCTGTCACTCTACTTGTTCCTGCTTGTGTAATTATCCAGGGACGTGTTGGCCTTCTTCATGACACTGAGGGTTCTGTGACAGTGGAGGGTGTTCCTCTTTAATACTTCTTACCTGACACAGCAGAAGCTCAATACATGTTTGTTTTACACAAAATGAGTTTTGTTCCCAAACTATCTCTCAACTTTATTAAATCCCCCAGCACATTAGCCTAGGCACTTAGTACCTGCAGTGGGCCCAGTGGGCCTGACTTTTCATCTGCAGACACATTTTCTCTTTTAGCATGCGCTGCCAGATTAATATTGTTTCTAGATGCTACCCAAGGACTTGTTCACTCAAAGACTCTCTTAGCAGCTCCATACCTCTTGCTTTGAAGTCCCTCCACTCTCCAGAGTACTTTATCTGCTATTAGCCTACTCCATGAACTCTAGGAAAACTTGTGTGCACTTTGCATTTACAGAACATTCTTAATTCATGTAAATCCTTTGCTAGAACCGTGGCTGGCAGGAAAGATCTTTTTTCCATCACTCTTGAAATCTCAATTACAATGAGAGCCCCAATCAATCCCTACCTCCGTTTTGGAGGCCTTCTCAGTCTCTCAGGCAGTAATGCCATGTTCCTTATCAGAACCTCTTTTGTACTGGTTGTCTGTGCTTTCGTAGGTATCTACAAAATAGACCAGGGTAGGATATGTGGGGACATGCATATTTTATCTAGCATGACAGGAGAGTATTCCCTTCTGATATTATGAGTCAACTCTTTTTTCATCTTTGTATCTCCTTCTGGACCTGGTGGTCTCCAGGGGAGTGCAGTGCCTCATTAATTGGGCATGTTAAAGATAGGAAGGCAGCAAATCACACTGCCATGTGTGTACCTATGCAACTATCTTGCATGTTCTTCACATGTTCCCCAAAACCTAAAATACAATTAAAAAAAAGATATTTATGCATGTAATAGTGATACAGGGCAATTCAATAACCTATCCTGGTGTAGATTTTTAAATGTTTCCTTAGGGCATTTATAATTGCTTTGTTCTTACAGGATTTTGTGAAAGTGAATACATTATTAGAAAGCTACCCATTTTGCAGAGTCCACATATAATGATCTCTTAGAAATAAATTTTCAAATGGAAGAACAGCCTTAAACTTTTGGTGAAGAATGTGGGAATTGTTCTTGTGAAGGAGTACCCCTCTCCTCACTTTGGGTGGATTGGTCTTCAGCAAGTGGTTGAAGAATTTCGGGAAAGGTATTGGAAACAGGAAGAGGTAGGCATACGCGAAGAGCAGAAGAACTAAGAAAGGAGGCTGGGGCCATTGGTTTCAAGCAGAAACATGGCTGAAAAGCTGTGCTAAGCAAGACTTTGAGAGAATCTTTATCCCATGATCACTTCAAAATCTATGAGTCATCATCTGGACAGGTCATAGCTCTGATATCAAAACCCCTTGAAATTAGTTGTGATCTTAAAGTAATTGTAATGACAATTCATGGCTGAGGTGGTTATTGAGGTTCCCTCTAACTATACAGTGGGATTGGAGATAGGAAATAGATGTATCTCACAATAATCTTTAACTCTGGAAATTTCCATAGCATTCTTTTCCCCTCAGTAAAAAAGTAATTTTATATTAATAGCATATTTTTGTTCAAATTTACTTATGTAGGTTTTAGTAAAGTTAGTTTCTAAAAACTTTCCCTGGCCTTTTATCTGTCGAAAGCATCAAATAGCATAAGCATAGTGGAAGGGCTTTGGAGTCCTGAGTCTGAATCCTGATTCAGTTACTTGCTAGCTATATAGCCATGAGCAATTTACTTGATTTCTCTCTAAGCATCAGATTCTGTATCACTGAAATGGAAATGATAATAATACTTATAAGGTTCCTGAGGATTGAATGTAGTCACATGAGGAATAGCTGGCAGAGAATTAGTTCTTAATAAATAGCAATCTTTATTATTATAGGATTTGTGGAGGAGGGAAGACCGAGATGAAGATGGTACAATGAGCTTAATTTCTTACAAGTACTTGAGAGACAGTGAAATTATAGAAGCAACTGTGGTTTGATCAAAGGGTTTATTCTAATTCAGTGTGTTTCTTAAGGAAATCATTTGTATTACTTAATTCTTTGCAGAATAATGGGACTACTGAGCACCAGGTGGAATCTTTCATAAGGAAAAAACTGGAGTCACTGTTAAAAGAATCTCAAATTCGAGATAAAGAAGACCCTGATAGTTTCACAGTGAGGGCACTGCTGAAGGCCACGCATGAAGGCTTAAACGCACACCTGAAGCAGGTATATGATTCCCTCTTATACTTATCCTTCAACGGGAAAAAGAAAGCATCTCATACTTTTTTTCTAATAATTTGTAAAATGCTTCTCCACCTTCTTTTATTTCTGTCCTCATTTTGCTTGAGAAATGAAACTCTCCTATTGCAAAAAGTGATATGAGAAATAGTTAAAAATGGATTGAGTGGAGGTAGAAATGACTCAAATACTGCTTCACTTGGACCTTCAGGACAAAGCCTAGTGTTCCTGGACTCATCTTCCCAATGCATGCTCAGGTTGGGGAAGAAGTTCCAGACCACCATGTCCCTCACCTTCCCACCTCTCCACATTCATTAGATGTCTGCCTTCCCTGCTACCACCACCTGTCTTCCAGGGCTGAGGGCTCCTCAGGAAGAGGGAAGATCATAAGGGGGTGATCACCCTTGGATCCTAAGTGATCACTTTGCATTGATGGTTGCCCTCTGGACCCTGCACAAGGCTAGTCATCCAACTACTAGGCTGTTCCTCAGGTCCATTTAGTTTCTAAACATAGAAATCCTAATTCAAAATGGCTTCAGTGATTAGGAAGATGTTGGGTTTAGTAAGTGGCAAAATTTATTTGCAGATTGGCCTTTGGGGTGGTTTTAATCCAGAGGCCCAGTGGTGTCATCATAGACCTATCTTTTTGCTCTACCTATCATGCTATTAGCGTCATCTCAAGTCTGGTCTCCTGTCCACGATGGTTGTGAGGTGACTGCCAGCAGGCCTATAAACTACCTGTTTTTTGGTCCATATCCAGAGAGATTCAGACAACATATTTGCCCCAACTAACAAGTGAGAGTTTTGTTAACCTAGTTCATGTGTCTACCCCTAAGCTAATCACAGTGGCTGTGGATAGGTGTCCTTCCTGAAACAGTACTTGGCCAGAGTATAAGATAATACTAGCTTGCTAATGCCAGTGAGAACGATCTTGTCAAGGTTAGCTTCTCTCAAGCTGCAAGTTAGAGGGGCAGATGGAATACTGGGGCGACAACCAAAGGGTCCATGACAGCATTATTGTTCTTATAGTTAACCATATAATTCTGGATTTTCTTAATAATTTCTATAAATAGTAATAATCATCTTACCCTCCTCACCTCCAGCCATTTATTTTCAATACCACAAGTGCCTGTAAGGTCACATTTGTTTAGCCCATCTTGATTCTGCTTCTTGTCCTTAGTAAACTCTCATTGGTTTATCTGGGCCAGTCACTCCCCTTATGCATTTGGAGAAGTCTTTACTCCATCCTAGATTATGCTAATTGGAAACACAACCATAAGGCTTGGATATTTTGGAAGAAACAAATTAAACCCCTCTACCTTTTGCTATTCATTGAAGAGACTCTAATGACAATTCTCCATCAGGTAAAATGGTAAGAGGACCAAAAATTTTAGAGAGATAGTGTAACAAAAATTATCTTCATTTAACTTATTTTTGAGGTTTTTTAACACTGCTATGTTTTTAAAATACGATTTTGGTTCACTGGGCAAGCAAAGGCAAGTTACTGTTGAGACGAGTCCATCTGTGCCAAATACATGTTGATTTAAATCCAAAGCTGACAATGTGCTAAGTGTGGCTGTGGGCACACACCACTCCAGCTTCTACTTTTCTGGACCGTCAATCAGCAGTGCAGGATTGGTTTCTACTTGTGCTGTCTTTTTCCTGTGGAGCCCTGAAGAAAAATAAAAATGAAATTCGCCTTCAGGCTGGAAGAACTTAGTAGTCAGGAGAAACAGTTCTTGAGAGTTCTTGAATCTGCTCCTTTTGTTACATCTGAACTGCTGCTGCCTGGATAACCTTACCAAGTTCCTAAATGGGCTTTTTCAGCTCTTAGCTGCCCTGCCCCACTCCCTTTAATGTCTCATTCACACCCCTGCCATAGTGATAGTTTGGAAATGTGCATCTGGTCATGTCATTCTGTTTCCAACACTCTCCTGGCTCCTCAACATCTCAGGGCTCCTCATAGTTTGGAGGATAATGCTCAAACGCAGAGATAATAGCCCATAAGATCCTTTCTTCCTGTTCTGGCTCCTAGCAGTGACAGCCACAGAATGTGCATGTATATAAATCCACACGTGCACACCTTCATTTTCTTCATTTCCTTTACCATGCTCTTACCACATGGCTTTCATGTTGGCTTTTTTTCTTGGCCATAATACACTTCCTCTTCCCTATTTCACATAGATAACTTCTACTCTCCTTTAGGCTTTAGCTTTTATATCGTGTCCCCTTGGAAGTTCTTAATTCTCAAGTCCAGGTAGATAGTCTCCCTCTGCCATCCCACAGTGCCTTAAGCTCTCCCCATTATAGTCTTGTGACAGTGTGTTGTGATTGATTGTCTCTACTATTAGACTGCAAGCCCAGTAAGAACAGTGCATCAGCTCTCCTATTTGCTCTTCCCCTTATGTACCTACCAAGTTCCTACGACAATGTCTTATTAATTCAGTGGAAGATGTGCTGATGCTCAAGGAGAGGTCAAAGTTGGAAATAATTATTTGTAGATATCTATTTCCTACATAAAGAGAGTGAGAACGGGGCAGAAAATGTTGGGGAAGTGGAAGGAAGCCAGAGAGAAGACTTGTAGTTAGACAGAATCCTGTTTTATCACCAACAAGCTTTGTAACTTTGGCTATATAATCTAACTTCACTGTATTTCTGTTTTTCTTTTCCGTAAAATTGGGATTTTAATCATGCTTATTTCCAGGGTTGGTTATGCGTAGTAAATGAACATATTTGTAATGCAATTAGCATGATTCTTAGGGTATAGTAGGTGCCTACTAAATAGGGTGACATTAACCTCAATTTGTCTGTGACAGCTGTGCTTTGTACCTGTTGTCCCGGCTTAATTATTAAAAGCGTCTCATTTTATTCTTAAAAGGTTCTATTTTGGACAATAAATGGCATGGTCTCCCTACAAATAGATGGGTTACTAAAAATAGAAAGGAACTCACAGATTAATTGGTCCATTTCATAGATTAAAAAAAACAGACCAATAGAAGGGCTTGCTAAAGGACATGTAGCTACTTGGTGGCAGAACTGGGTCTTCTAACTTGGAGAGCAGTTCTACATCTGTGACCACATCCAGCTACCTTCTTGATTCTACAGTTTTTAAACAGGTTAGTGAATCCACATTAATAGATATCCAAAAACAATAAACATACATGAACCAGTCAACAGTTATCTAACATCAGTCACCTTGTAAACCCCTCACCATTAATCCTCCAGCATTTTTTGAACTACTCTTTCGCCAACCAATTCTTGGACTTCACCCAACCTCTTCCCACCCCTACTTGCATCTTTGATTAGCATCTATGGGCGTATACAGATGCCCCTCCCAGCCTTTTGGTCGTAAGTGTTTTTGCTTGCCCACATTTATTCCATTTATGTGATTACCTCTGTTTCTTCTCTATTTACCTGGAGTCCTGGTCAGGTGGGGCCTACTGGTCTCTCCTTGATACCAAGTCATGAGTAATGAATACCTAACATATTTTTAGAGATGACAAATGAATAAGAGCATAAACCCCCTTAGCAGGTGGCCTTTCTGCTCCCTATTGAGACATAGGCTCCAAGGAAGAGAGTTGGCTCAGTATCTCTAACTGGAAAATTAACCCATGTGAGGAAAAATTCAGAGGCTACAATACCTCTTTCCAGTGCCCATGACAGAAGGAGTTATTTCAACAAAGAGATAAGCTTTGTTTGGTTTACTTTAAATAAATAAAAACAATCTTATTATCTCATAGATATCCTTGAATTTTATTTATTTATAATGTTTTAAAATTCCACATAGCACTGTTTAGTCAATGTGATCCACTTTCTTTATTTAACAGAATTGGCTGCCAATGACTTTTGGTCATTTTCCAAAACTGAGTCTTCACTTAACTGAAAATGACTTAACCCCACTCAGAACATTTAAAAGATCACATCCTGTGCTATAGAGAGCATGGTGAACAGGCGCCATGAGGGCCAGCACACCTGCACACTGCTGAGAGCCCTTGACCTCAGCTTTGGGAAGGTACAGGCAGCTGCTGTGTCCTGGCTGGCATCCACCTCTACATGCTAATATTTCCCCTTCCAAGGCCAGCAGAGCCACCTTTGTGGTAGTGGAATGCGGAGTAGGAGGAAATGAATGGAGTCTGCTGCTTGTTTCCCACCTAGAGACAAACAGAAGAGAAGAGAGGGCCCCCTTGCCATTCCACCAGAACTAAGGAAAAAGACAAAAGCAAGGAAGATAAATAGTTACATTATACTTTTATTTACTCAGAGTCCAGATGTAAAGGAAAGTGGAAAGAAATCACATGGACGATCCCTCATGACCAACTTTGGAAAACATAAGGTATGAATTAAGAGTGATAAATATGCATAATTCAGTTAATTTAAAGATTCTGACAGGTAACAGGAGGATATCATCATGACCTTGGAATAGCTGAAATGTTTTTTTTTGAGAGGGAGTCTCACTCTATCGTCAGTGAAGTGCAGTGCCGTGATCTCGGCTCACTGCAACCTCTGCCTCCCAGGTTCAAGCGATTCTTCTGCCTTAGCCTCCCAAATAGCTGGGACTACAGGCATGTGCTACCACGCCTAGCTAATTTTTGTATTTTTAGTAGAGTCGGGTTTTCACCATGTTGGCCAGACTGAACTTGAACTCCTGACCTTGTGATCTACCCACCTCAGCCTCCCAAAGTGCTGGGATTACAGGTGTGAGCCACCACATGTGACTTGAAGATTTCTTAAACAGGATGTCAGCAAAGAAAAAGACTGATATTTAAACTACTTTAAAATGTAAGAACATCTATGCATTAACAGTATCAAAAAGCAAGTTGCATACTGTAAAGAATATTTTGAATATACATATCCAATAATATATCCAAAAACTGTATTTAACATCTTAAATATACTTATCCAATACATAATGGATATGGGTTATTAAAATTGGTATGTGTATTATATATTCTATACTGAATATATAAATAGCTCCTATAAATCAACAAAAGAATAGGCAACCTCATTTCTAAAAGATGGGCAAAAGACTTAAACAGGCACTTCACAAAAGAAGATACCCAAATTACTAATAAAGAAAAGGGATTCACCCTTGTCAGTCATCTGGGAAATACAATTTAAAATGACTATGCAATTCCATATACACCCACCACAATAGATAACATTAAAAGATGGCAAGACCTAATAGTTAGTGAGAATGAAGAACTTGCACTCTCATACACTGCTTATTTACTCATTATGCTTGTGCACATTTGTGCAACTACTTGGCCCACTATTTCACGGTATCTGCTAAAGCTGCACTATGTATTATGACTTAGCAGTTCTATTGTTAGGGTATATGTCAAAAGACAGAAATAGGCTGGGCACCATGGCTCACGCCTTTAATCCCAGCATTTTGGGAGGCTGAGTTGGGTGGATCACCCAAGGTCAGGTTTTCAAAACCAGTCTAGCCAACATGTTGAAACTCCACCTCTACTAAAAATATAAAAACTAGCTCGGTGTGATGGTGGTCACCTATAATCCCAGCTCCTTAGGAGGCTGAGGCACGAGAACTGCTTGAACCTGGGAGGCAGAGGTTGCAGGGAGCTGAGATCAAGCCACTGCACTGCAGCCTGGGTGACAAGAGTGAAACTCTGTCTAACAACAGCAACAAAAAGACAGAAATGACAATATTTATATTGGCATTGGTAATAGTGTAAAGAGTAAACAGTACAAATGTCCATTTTTAATAGAATGAATGAAAATGTTTATTGATAATAGAATGAATAAAAATTGTGTATTCACATACGAAAATAAGTATGAAAATGACAAAATTATAACTATGAAATATGATCTTTATAAATATAAATATGGTTGAGTAAAATAAACCAGTCCCAAGAGAGTACATACAGTTTGATTCTATTGATATTAAATTCAAAACCAGGCAAAAAACCCTACAGAGTAGAAATCACAATAGGTATTACCCTCACAGAGAAAAGAATGACAGAATTGGAGGATCAGAAGGCTTTTGGGGGACAGATAATATTCTGTTTCCTCATGTGTGTGGTTTTTGATTTGTGAAAGACATCAACCTGTACACTTATGACTGGTGTACTCTTCTAACTGTATGTGACACTTCAATAAAATAGTAAAAAAAAAGAAGTTACACTAATCTGGCATCTACTAGACAGATTAGCTGTTTGACAGTAAAACTTGTGCAAGAAATTTTTATTAAATGATGAACTTTACATTATACCTGAAGTTTCTGTAAAGACATTTCTTCTACTTTAAGGAATGTCATATCTAGAATTTCCTACCCATCAGTGAGATAATTTATTAGTAGACTGGTCAGATTAGTCATTATCACAAAATATTGAAAACAACCAAAATGTTCACCTGTAAAGACTGTTTAAGTAATCTGTGAGTCATTCACATAATGGACAGTTATGCAGCCATTTAAAGATGATCCCTTGGAAGAGCTCAACATGTGAAACATTAAATGAAAAAGTCAGATGAAACTAGATTCTATGGTATGATAACCATGATAAGATGTGTCAAAACTATGTGCAGAAAATATATCATTCTCTGATCGTTATCTGTCATTGGTGATTCATTTCTTAGTTCTAATTTTTACATTTTATAATAGCGATTCTTAAAAAGACATTTATTGTATACTACGTGGAATTAGAGAATATTTCATTTCTGGATTGCAACTTGTCATTACAATTAAAATAGTTTTGCAAAATAGATGTTTTGGGAAGTACTTCACCTAATTAAAATTTATCATGCCACAAGTCATAAGAATAAATTGTCCATTTAAAAATATTAAATCCATTGATTAAATATTAATCTATAGATTTTATAGATTTTAAATATTTAAATATAATCCATTATTTAAATACTAATTTGTTATCTATTTAAATATTAATCTATAGATTATTTCAGTAAGTATTGACAGAATTTTAAATGCAAAATTAATGTTAGTTTACAGAATGTCTTTCTACGCTATTTATATAATCAACACAACAATAATTCTTTGAAATAGATGTTATTGCCATACTTTTTCTAAAGATCCAGTTGAAAACTAGTGAGGTTAGCCAGTTTACTAGCTTGGTGGAAGATGGAACGTGAGATCATAAAATGGTAGGGCTTCCATACCATGCATTCTGAGGCTCTCAAGGAGTAAATAATGCCAGAGAAGGTTTCAAACTGAACTGGCACCTCACTGGGAGTGCAATAGAGAGACGTTGAGTGTGCTTATGCCATCAGTGTAGCTTGTTTGATTTGGAGGGTGAGTGGGACTGGAGGAACCATGAGAAAATCTAGAAGGTGCCGTGGTCCTATGTGAATTCGGGGATGGAGTCCCTTTCTCTTTCTATGCCACATTCCCGATGTCCAGGGTACTCTGTCAAAACTTCTTACCTTTGATTGTAGACACTGTATTTTTCGTGGCAAGGTTTCTGTAACTATTGGGGTGATCCTTCCACATCATTTGTATTGTTTATTTATTTATTTAGAGATGGAGTTTCACTTTTGTTGCCCATGCTGGAGTGCAGTGATGGGATCTTGGCTCACTACAATGTCCATCTTCTGGGTTCAAACGATTCTCCTGCCTCAGCCTCCCAAGTAGCTGGGATTATAGGCACCTGCCACCACACTGGCTAATTTTTATATTTTTAGTAGAGACAGGGTTTCACCATTTTTTGGCCAGGCTGGTCTTGAACTTGTGACCCAGGTGATCCACCCGCCTCAGCCTTCCAAAGTGCTGGAATTACAGGCATGAGCCTTCGTGCCCAGCCTTATTTTTTTTGAAAAGTTACTGCATATCCTTTTTTAAAAAACCAAATGTGCCTTTTATAATTTATTAATAGTGAGCTTCCTATACGAAAAGGCATGTTGTCCCTTATAATCATTTGAATGGATACTGCAACTTTGACTCTACCCCTAGTAGAAACCTTCAAAATACATGACTAATATAGTCTTTCTAATACATCAACTTTATGTGTCTTTGAAATCAGTTTTTGAGCATGAAGCTCTTAGTTTTGCATTAATATGTTAATGTAAATATGGCCTTAGATATGCTTATTATTAATGGTGAAGCGAACTGCAATATTTGGTCATTTTTTTCCCTCCAAGCTATTACGCTTGTGCACATATGCATTTTAAAGCCCCGCTCATTCTCTGTATATTGTAGATATACTTGATACAATGAGTTTGTTAAGTTTGTTTCGATTTTTCTGGCAGAAAACTACAAAATCACGGTCTAAATCTTATAGTACTGATGATGAGGAAGATACACAGCAGAATCCTGGCAAGGAGGGTGGCCAGCTGTACAGGTAAAAAAGCGTCTCCATGTTTCCTGCTCACAATTCATCCTTGTCAGCTTAGTCATTTTACTTGAACATGTCCAGAGAACTGGATCAGAAGAAAAGTACTCTGTGCTGTAGAACATGTAAAGATCAGCTGGATATGAAATAATATGTGTAGGGAACTTAGTACTGTTCCTGGCACATAATGAGCTCTTTATAATGTTAGCTGCAGCAGTTGTCAACTAAAAGGTATCTTCAGAGAAGAGGGAGGGAGAATCTAAAATGAGCCAGACATCAAATTCTTGTTCCTCCACTTACCAACTTTAGCACGGGACAAGTTTGGCTCCTGAGTGTATCTGTCCCTTAGAGTCATTGTAAGGATTGAAGGAATTAAACTAATTAGCGCTGTAAGCTCAGGCCCAATTAAATAAGTATTCCAAAAAACTCGTTTTTTGTTTGTTTTGTTTTTTTATTGCCAATAGTATTTGTGATGAATAACATGACCATATTTTCAGAATCCAGATTGTGTCACATGATTCATTACAGGAGTTCCTGGCAGTTTATTTATACCATAACATTCACAAAGAAATGTAAATTGTATATATTAGATAGATATAAATACACACACACACTTTTGCCTTTATTGAAAAATGAAATTAGAAGCATAGAACCCCTGTAGGAATAAAATTTAGTGTTCAATTAAAATTTATATTTGTATATCTATATATAAAATAGTAACTAGTTAGAAGGGCAGAGGAGATGTCCTACTATAGGGAACAGAAAATTGAATATGTAGCTACAGTAAAGGATAACAAGAAAAAAATAGGATCACCTTCTGGAAGACCTCTGCTGTGACTACTGTCATTTATAAGTTTGAGAAAGGCTTAACTCTGATACATATATTGAGGGGAAAGGCAGTGTTTGAGGAAAGCTACAATAACCTTAATATGTGCAAAGGAGACATAAGTGCAGGTATCACATGAAATAATTTTGCATGCTGCTTAGTGTCAATTATAGATTTTTCCATAAAAGTTATCAGAACCTGAGCATCTATTATGATGTCCTTTTGGGACTTCGGTAACCTAATGCACCTCCAGGATGAGGATTAAAAAGAATTAACTTTCTATAGAATTTGTCCCTATCATGGAGTGTCTTCCAGTTTTACTTATAATTTCTAGGCATGACTTCACACTGATTTATAATCATTAGCCTTCACAAAATCAGACTTTCACCAGTGGCTGTAGAATTTCTTAATTATATGGTAAAGAAGGAGCATGCCTTCTTTTTTCTATTGAATTTTACCACAGTAAAGTTCTCAGCAGACCATCACATAGCCTTCACATGCACACTTTTCTTCTATTGGGGAACATTTAACTATCAAAAACAAACCTCACGAAAGAAGATATACAGATAGCCAATAAACACATGAAAAAGTGCTCTACATTGTTAGTCACTAGGGAAATATATATAAATCAAAACTACAATGAAGTACCTCTTCACACCCATTAGGACACTTATAACCCAAAATACCTCTTCACACCCACTAGGATACTCATAACCAACAAGACAGATAATAACACATGTTAATTCTGTTCCCTAGAGTAGGGACCACATACATCTGCCCTTCCTAATTAGTTATCATTTTATGTATAGATATTCTGTTGGAGCTCAAATATAAAGTTTAATTGAGCACTAAAGTTTAGGTTTTTGGTAGTTATGTGTGGAGAAAAGTGTGTATGTGAGGGGAATGTGATGGTCTGTGGAGGAATTGACTGTGATAGAGAGTGGTGGTACAATTTGTAAGGTTGCAGAGCAGATCCTAGGAGTGATTTATAGGAAATATCTAAGATTAAAACAGCACCAAATAAAGCAATGAATGTTTGCTTTAAAAAAGCTGGAAAATATGGAAAAAGTATAAAGAAGAAAGTAGGTCAGATGCAGTGGCTCATACCTGTAATCCCAGCACTTTGGGAGACCAAGGTGGGTGGATCACGAGGTCAGGAGATAGAGACCATTCTGCCATCATGGTGAAACTGCGTCTCTACTAAAATATAAAAAAAAAATTGCCAGGTGTGGTGGCAGGAACTGTAGTCCCAACTACTTGGGAGGCTGGAGCAAGGAAATCTCTTGAACCCAGGAGGCGGAGGTTGCAGTAAGCTGAGATCATGCCACTGTACACCAGCCTGGCAACAGTCTCTGTCTCAAAAAAAAAAAAAAAAAACAAAAAAACTTCATGGGGCTGGTCGTGGTGGCTCACATCTGCAATCCTAGCACTTTGGGAGGCCGAGGTCAGGAGTTCTAGACCATCCTGGCCAACATGATGAAACCCCGTCCTGTCTCTACTAAAAATACAAAAAATTAACCAGTATGGTGTGGTGGCGTGCACCTGTAGTCCCAGCTACTCGGGAGGCTGAGACAGGAGAATTGCTTAAACCTGGGAGGCAGAGGTTGCAGTGAACCAAGATCATGCCACTGCACTCCAGCTTGGGTGACAGAACAAGATTCCATCTCAAAAACAAAAATACAAAAAATAAGCCAGGTATGGTGGTGCATACCTATAATTCTAGCTACTCAGGAGGCTGAGGCAGGAGGATCATTTGAACCAGGAAGGTGGAGGTTGCAGTGAACTGAGATTGCCTCACTGCTCTCCAGCCTGGGCAACAGAGCAAGACTCTGTCTCAAAAAAAGAAAAAATCTCATGAATTGTTTATCTCTGAAATTTTTCACTTAATATTTTTAGGCCATGGTTAATATTTTTAGACAGGTGTGTGCCACCATGCCCGGCTATGTGGGCAAATGAAACTCTGGAAAGAGAAACTGAGGATAAGGGGGAACTACTGTAGTAGGATTTTGTGGTGGAAAGAGCACTGAACCAGGAATCACACTTGGTTCTAACCCTGGCTCCCTTAGGACCTGGGGCAGATATTTCCTATTAAATCATTGTCTTAAATAAGGAAAGTGGGATAACCAAGAACCCAAACCTCTTTCAACTCCCAAGTGTCATGCATCCTACGTGTGTACTTCACAGACTGGGTCGCCGAAGGAAAACCATGAAGCTCTGCCGAGAACTCTCTGATTTGGTTGTGTACACAAACTCCGTGGCCGCCCAGGACATTGTGGATGACGGTAAGGACTGGGAGTTTTCTCCTCCTGCTCTGGATAAACATTCTTGATCTTTATTTTTCAGTTGTTAATGAATTTTTGTTAATCTGATTATCAACACACATTTTTGGGACTATGTAGAAACCAATTCGAGTGTCAGGAAACTCATTGCTGCTATAGTGTTGAGTTCATACGGAGGGTTTTACTGATTTCTACGGTTGCCAGATTGACTAGAGGCCAGAGAAATTTCCCACAGGGCCCAGGAGGACTTGATTACTATAAAAAGAAATTCATCAGGGCAAGATCTTTCTGCAACACTTAAACTGTGAAGAGCAGGCCTGGTTTGAGGACCAGGTCACAGATGGCCATTCCAAATGTGAACGACCAAAAAAAGGAAGAAATTAATTGGCTAAAACCACACCTTGGAAAGCCCTATATTTTCTCAGTGAAAGTTTTGACTTGGGTGAAAATAGCTTAATCCAGATTGAAATTTTAACAAAAAGAGCAGATATATCAGTAGCATTGTCTCCACTGTTTTTCACCTACCAGTTGCCACATGGAGCTGAGAAATTCTAGTCACATCTATTCATACCCTTGGCTCTCTTGCTAGTTACTCTTGTCTTCTTTATCTTCTGTTTCATTTAGTTACTGAATGCTTACAGAAATAACCTATTGTCATGTGGCTTTTCATCTAATTTTAATTTTAATGGAACTCAAATGTAAATCAATCTCCAAATTTCTCAACAACTTTTAGTGAAAGGAAAACAACATTGTGGTGAGTCTTATGTCCTCACAAACCCCCAGGATTCTTCCCTCTTATCTCCCCTACCCAACCCCCATTCCACAAATGTATCTTTTGCTGTTTGCAGAAAGATTTCTTCCTTTGGTCTTGATTCCTTCTTCAAACGGTAACAATTATACAAGATTTAAATGAATTTCACATGTGAGAGCATGAGAAACTGTAGGATTCTCAGCAAGTGAGCAACACACTCTTATAATAATTTCCCTTAGCTCAAAAATAAACTCAGGGACTGAATGCATTAAGTTAAAGGTATAGTTGGTTTAGGGAACAAAAATTTCCAATAAATGCCTTGGAAAACATAATCCTATTAACTTAATGAAAATTAATCTTGAATACCTTTTAGCTCTTGAACTTAAGCTGTTTTTATCTTTTTTATTTTTTTGCCAGCCCCAAAATGAAAACTAGATAATGAATGCATGGTTTATCCTAATGTGATACAACTCAACTCTATTAATGTACTAATTGATATTTGCCTAATTAGGAAGGTCATATTAATAATACTGTGATGTGCATATTTATGGAGAGAAACAGAAAAAAAGCAGTAGTATTGATTATAGTCCTGTTCCATCTGAATTAGGCTTGTCAACAAGATGATATTTTCTCCTATAATGTTTAAAACATCTCTCATCAAAATCTGCAAATAAGTTCAATATTAGTATGTTGAGATATGTAAACTATGTTAAGAGGTTATATCAATTAAAAAAATGAACATGTATCTTTAAGGAAAGAGTCTAAACTAGAAGCTTCATCACATTAAAAACTGTAATCCTCTCATTTCTTTGCCACAACTTGTATTCCTGACTGTTCTAACTCTGGAGTATCATTTTCAGTTGGGAAGCATCTAACATCTAAGGGTGTCCAACCCTGAGGACCACAGGGGCCCTGGAAAACTGTGTGTGTTAATAAACATGCACGGTCTAGATATGACTCAGGCCCAGCTGGCTCAGCAAAGCCATATATAGTTCAACTACTTGGTTTCATGGACCGTATCTCACCATCTGGGCTCAGACACACTCAGCTTATTAGGGTTGAATAAAAATGAGACTCTGGGTGAGTTTGGGTCTTTTTATCTGGGCTGGTCTTTTCCAGCATATTCAGAGGATATATCAGTGGTCATTTTGGGCATAGGGTATGGGGGTCCTTGGTGAAAAAGTGGGAATAGTGGGTGCTGTGTAGATAGGGTACAAAAGGTGGGATTGAAGACAAGTGGAATATTAAATGTTTGGAGCTTTACTCCGTTATGACCCCCAAATTTGCAGCTTCTGTGAGTCTAGATGGATGATTGTCCTGGAATGAACTTTAGTACAGGCTTCTTGTACTTTTACCTCCCTTTACTTTTTTCCATAGTTTATATGCATGGCTAGGTGAATGACTGTCCTTGTTCTTAAAACTTTTATTCCTTTATAAGGCTTTTGACCTCTGTTTCTCTTTTATTATTCCTTTCTCCCAAACAGGTTTTGACTTGTTCCATAATTCTATTCAAATAAACTTTAAAACTCAACTTTTAATTTTTGTAATTCTTTTTTCTTTGTTTTCTTGGATCCTGATTGTTACTATTAATACATGTTTTACATGCATGCCTTTTAGAAGAATGCCTTCAATGAATGTCTTCCTGTTATCAGAAATAAGCTATTGAGATAGTTATATTTATTCATGGTTGTCTATATCTTCGGCAAAGATATTCTTTTTAAGTTATTTTTTTCTATCTGTTCTCTTCATGCTGGCCAGATAGACATAAATTAGTGAGATGATTAAATTCTTAGGGAGAACAGGGGACCCAGAAATAGACAGCTACTTGAGCAAGACACACAGCCTTGATGTGGCCTGAAAATGGCAAAAGAACCCTAAGAATGGAATTTTATGGGTCTTTCCTGTTGAGGAGCTGCCTCTACTCTGGTTGAATCCACTCTAGTGCTCTGCTTTTTCTATTGGTATAATCTGACGTTATTATAAAGTCTTTTGTGAGTGGTATTTTCTTTGCTGTAGTTCTCACTTTTCTTTTTTCTCTATTAAAAACTGCCAGGAACCACAGGAAATGTGTTATCATTCAGTGAAACAAGAGCACATCAGGTGGTTCAGCAAAAATCAGAGCAGTTCATGATTTATAATCAAAAGCAACTCACAAGGATTTACCCCTCTGCCTACCGAATTGATTCCAGTAACTTCAACCCTCTCCCCTACTGGAACGCAGGCTGTCAGCTAGGTGTGTATTCCTTGGGAAGGAGTGGCTCTCTGTGTATCCTAACTATCCTGCCATCTTGCCTAATTCTCTGCAACTTTCAACTTGCACAGTGGCATTGAATTATCAATCTGAAGGACGAATGATGCAGCTAAACCGAGCCAAATTCAAGACAAATGGCAATTGTGGTTATGTCCTCAAACCCCAGCAAATGTGCAAAGGTGTGTATTAATTTCATAGTCATAAATGCAGGTATTAATTTCATAGTCTAAATACAGGCAACGTTTATTAAAGAAGCTGTTTAGAAAATGTAATACCCCAGAGTTTTTCAACATATTTTTTCAAAAAGATAGGTTAAAGTGTTTGAATGTAAATTAGAATTCTTGTCGCAATGACTTAATATTTGGTCGGCCATGATGTTTAGAATGTTATCTTGAGAGGTTTTGTGTGAAAGAGGGACATGGATAGCATTGGGTTATCATTTGAAATCCAGTGCCCCATATAAGGGGACTGCTTTTTAAGGTCTGAGCCCTATTTTTTAGACACTATCTTAGGTAATGTGAGTTTGTGACTTGCTGGCAAGCTTCAAATTCACCTGAGACAATTTTATCAAGCTCTTTTATTCAGTGTAGTCCAATTACAAAACAGTGCTAACAAAAGAGAAAGGATAGGCTGGGCACGATGGCTGATCCCTGTAATTTTAGCACTTTAGGAGGTCGAGGTGGGAGGATCACCTCAGGTCAGGACCAGCCTGTCAGGAGTTCGAAACCAGCCTGTCCAACATGGTAAAACCCTGTCTCTACTAAAAATACAGAATTAGCTGGGCATAGTGGTGCATGCCTATAGTCCTAGCGACTTGGGAGGTTGAAGCAGGAGAATCGCTGGAACCTGGGAGGCAGAGGTTACGGTGAGTCGAGATCACGCCACTGCCCTCCAGCCTGTGTGATAGAGTGAGACTCCATCTCAATAAATAAATAAGTAAGTGTTAGATGAAACAACACTTTCTTTTGGTTCTGCTCATTAAAGTGATTTTTTTAAATTTCCAAATTGCATTTATAACAATTCAGATAAAAAAGTTGTTGATGGAATTAGCCTCAAGATTTTATACTTTGCATGTTTTCTTGCTCTGCTGTTTACTTAATTTCAGATCGTCTTTTTGTTTGTTATATTTACTCATACCTGAGATAGTTTAGGTTAGAAAACTATTTGAAGCTGACATAATTGTTCTTCTTTTTATGCTGTTGGTTTTCAAACAAAATGCTTCTCTTCCTCCTTTTCACAATTGATCATTGCATTGCAACACTTGCTTTAAGTTGGCCCAGTCCACTAGCCTTTGGAAACATAGATTCTAATGAAAACCACAGTTATGCCACACTGATAGTTATGTGAGATTTCTTTGCTCTAAGAAAGTTGTAATTCAGCAATTGTTTTTTCTTTGTTTATAGTTTAAGCTGTGCATGCATGTGTGTTTCTTTTTATGTTACCAACTTATACTTTACTTGGCCTAGGTACTTTCAACCCTTTCTCTGGTGATCCTCTTCCTGCCAACCCTAAAAAGCAGCTTATCCTAAAAGTTATCAGTGGACAGCAACTCCCCAAACCTCCAGACTCCATGTTTGGAGATCGAGGCGAGGTAAGTTGCCTATGACGTGTCTAAGTGGTTAATTATGTGATTATCTTAGTGCCTTCACATTTTATCCGAAATGTCTTCAGAGCCATATGTGTGTTCATAACTGAGCACTGACCTCAGCTTATCAGACATTAGTCAGTTTATTGGTAAGTCACACAGTTCTTGCTGTACTGCAGTCCATTGTCTATTTTGAAGGCATGAGTGCACACAACTGAATTCACAATTTAAGGTTGACACTGGCATTGCTAAAATTGCAGTGCAAAGGACAATTTCATTATTATTATTATTATTTTGAGATGGAGTCTTGCTCTGTCACCAGACTGGAGTACAGTGGCACAATCTCAGCTCACTGCAACCTCAGACTCCCTGATTCAAGCTATTCTCCTGCCTCAGCCTCCCAAGTAGCTGGGATTGCAGGCACCTGCCACTGTGCCCAGCTGATTTTTGTACTTTTAGTAGAGACGGGGTTTGACCATGCTGGCCAGCATGGTCTTGATCTCCTCACCTCGTGATCTGCCCACCTCGGCCTCCCAAAGTGCTGGGATTACAGGCATGAGCCACCGCACCTGGCCGGCAATTTCATTATTAATGGAACATTGCCTAAGAGTATATCTTAACCTCCATCCACACTCCTCTCCTCCTGCAATACTCCTCCCTGCTGCACATCAGCCACCTACCTGCTCCTTGGCCATATGCTGATTCTTGTTATTATCTGCTGTACCTGTGTAGCATGATTTTAAAAGGTATTATCTGTGGCCACAGTCTCTTTTCTTTGCAGAGCTTTTAGCCCGTTGTTTCCATTATCCCTTCTTGGCCCCTGTTTATAACAGCTTTTCCTGTGCTTGTGCCCTTCCTTCTGGAGCTGATCCATTACTTCAGGCTCTTTGTCACTCCTGCCTGTTAAACTATTGTTTTTGGATCTTAAGGAAGGAAACCACAGAGCTCTGCAATTTGGTACCATCATAAATACTTTATTTCAGAATTCTACTTTCTTTTTTCTTTTTTTTATTATACTTTAAGTTCTGGGGTACATGTATAGAACATGTAGGTTTGTTACATAGGTATGCACGTGCCATGGTGGTTTGCTGCATCTCTCACCCCATCAACTACAATAGGTCTTTCTCCTAATGCTGTCCCTCTCCTAGACCTCCAACCCCCAACAGGCCCCAGTATGTGATGTTCCCCTCTCTGTGTTCATGTGTTCTCATTGTTCAACTCTCACTTATGAGTGAGAATATGCGGTGTTTGGTTTTCTGTTCTTGTGTTAGTTTGTGGAGGATGATGGTTTCCAGCTTCATCCATGTCCCTGCAAAAGATATGAATTCATCCTTTTTCATGGCTGCACAGTATTCCATGGTGTAAAAGTGCCACATTTTCTTTATCCAGTCTATCATCGATGGGCATTTAGGTTGGTTCCAAGTCTTTGCTATTGTGAACAGTGCCGCAATAAACATACATATGCATGTGTCTTTACAACAGAATGATTTATAATTCTTTGGGTATATACCCATTAATGGGATTGCTGGGCCAAATGGTATTTCCAGTTCTAGATCCTTGGGGAATAACCACACAGTCTTCCACAGTGGTTGAACTACTTTACACTCCCACCAGCAACGTAAAAGCACAGAACTCTACTTTCTCTGCTTTAGACTTTCTTAGATCAGCTTTTTCTAGATTCTTTGGGTTTTTATTCCTTCATTATTCATCGCCCAGAACTGGCACCACAAAGAAGAGTCAACAGATGATCAACAAGACAAGATCTCTCCTCCTAGAGGAGAGGATGGGAATTAAAGTATACATTTCAAACATGGATAACTTGATTAATTATTATGCCAACCAGATCAAGACAGAGCATATTCAGAATCCCTAGAAGGCTCCTGTCCACCTTCCCAGTCAATACTACTCTTCCAGCTGCCTCCCATAGAAAACACCAACCACTATCACAGCAGAGAAGTTTTGTCTATTCCTAAACTTTATATAAATGGACTCTTAGAGTAGATACTCTTTTATGTCTGGCTTGTTCAACATTATATTATATAGCAGAACTTTATTCTTTTTTCATTGTTGAGAGTATTCATTAAATGCATATTTCTGACCAGGCACAGTGGCTCACATTTAAAATCCCAGCACTTTGGGAGGCTGAGGTGGGTGGATTGTTTGAGCTCAGGCATTTGAGACCAGCCTGGACAACATGGCAAAACCACATCTCTACAGAAAAAAAAAAAAAAAAATACAAAAATTAGCCAGCTGTGGTGGCATGAGCCTATTGTCCCAGCTACTTGGGAGGCTGAGGTGGGAGGATGGCTTAAACTCGGGAGGCAAAGGCTGCTGTGAGCTACGATCACACCACTGCACTCCAGCCTGGGTGACAGAATGAGACGCTATCTCAAAAAACAAAATAACAAAAAACAAAAAACGCGTATTATCCATTCTACTCATATAGAAAGTTTGGTTGTTTCCAGTGTTTGGCTGTTATAAATATAACTGCTCTGAGCATTTGTGCATGGGCAAAACATCTCAGTTCTGTTGGGTATTTGCCCTGAACTAAAATTGTAGGTTCATTGGGTAGTTTGTTGGCATTAATAAATACTAGCAAATAGTAATTTAATATGTCTTATACTCATCTCGTATATCTAAATCCACCACACCTGGTACCATTTCTTTTTCTTACTTAGCACCTGATAAAATCAGTTGCTGTTGAAATGTAGACATTTTGGTTAATATTCTCAGATTAATGAACATGTGTATAGAAATATATTATTTGTAATAGTACTATAGTACTTTCTCTTTCTTTAATAGATCATTGACCCTTTCGTTGAAGTTGAAATTATTGGATTGCCAGTAGATTGTTGTAAAGATCAAACCCGTGTGGTGGATGACAATGGTAAGATGATAATCTGTGTTTACTTTTAATGAAGATGGTCTAGAAATATAATTTACACTAAAAAAAGTGTCTATGTAGAAAAGCAAGAAATCTCTAAAATCCATAACTGCCATTTAGTTTATGTTAAAAGCTTTTCAACACATGAAACTAAGTAACTGTGGGATCGATGCATGGTATATTTTGGTGGTGGTGTAATCTAGGCCCTCCAGGCTTTTGCTTTTGAAACAAAAAATTTTTTTTTTCCAGTAAATGATATTTTAAAGAACTGGGTTAAAAATTCACTGAGGAAATGACTCTATTATATTTTATATTGTATTTTTATCACATGAGTTTTCTCAAAGCTCTCATTTGTGAAGTCTACGTGTCTCAGTAATTTCTCACTTTTTCTGGAGCATGTAAAACTCCAAAGGCAAGCACAATATAGTCTGCCAAGTTTACTTCTTGAATATTTACATACGATTGGAGGGGCAGAATTCTTATATTTTGGCCATAATATAAAGAAAGTTTTCTTTACCCAAGCCTCATGTCTTTTTCTTGTTAATCTTTTGAAGCTTTTTTGTTCATACATTTTGCAAACATTATTGCATACCTGTTTTTCTCAATCTCTTGTCATTAATAATGTAAAATACATTTGAAACATAATCGTTAATTTGAGAAATTAGGGGTTCACAGGGAGTCACTTATTCTAGTGTTCACTAGAATTCCCGAGTAGGGCAACCCTATAACTTAGGAAAAACATTCACATAGAAAACAGCCTTCTTAAATTACATTTAATGTTCAATAGACTATTCTGTTTTAGTCTCAGAAATAATTGAGAGGTCATCACTTAGTCAACAAAAAGATCTTCTTTTATTCAAGAGGGGAATCTTAGTGATTTTTCAGTTCATAATTATTTCATTAGCTTGAAGCTTTTTTATAAGGTTAAGTGGTTAATACCTCCTAAATGCCTCTATTTTTAAAATTTTATTTTCATTTTTTAGAAAGAAAAAACAGAAACTTACAAAATACTTGACTTTTTAACAACTTTTATAGTTATTTTATTGGAGAGAATTTTACCAAGTAAAGGTATTTTTGCATTTTTGTATTTGAGATGAATTATATACATTTTTGACTTATTTTTTGGTAGCTGTGAAAATATGCCATCATTCATGCAGTAAGGTCTTGCTTCTTGAGGAGATACTGGGAATCAATAGTGCACAGTCTAATTTGACCCTGTTACTAACTATAAGGCCTTGTGTGGCCCTGGGCACATTATTGTCTATGAACATCAATTTTCAATTTTCTCAACTACAAAATGTCTTACAAATACTGATATTTCCTACTTTAAAATGAGTGTTACTTGTATAGTTTTTGAAAGTAATATATTTTTTGAAAGTCAGTTATATATATTTAAAAAAAAAACAGAAACAAAAACGAAAACCCTGTTCTACTCTAAAAACTCTAAAAATCCTCTAAAACTCTTAGAGAATTGCTGTAAGAAATACGATGATATGTGTACAATAGTAGTTGAAATCTACAAAAGCACTTTATAAAATGGTTATTGGTGGTTATTACAGTAGCAGAATTTTTGGTGCATGAGAAGTATAATTCTGTTAGGAGAGGATATCATTCTTTATAGTTTTTGCTAAAACATTATTCTTAGATCACTACTATTGATAATTTTTGAACTTATTGAAGCTTTCTGAACACTTAAAGAGCCTCTCTATAACACAGTTAGGCATCAAAGAGTAATAGAATTGATGTGATAATTTACAGGCAATTTTCTTAGCAATTATTTTCTACCGAAGGGGTAAATTTCAAGGCTTTCTTCCAGTAAGGCATCCTGGGGTGGCTTAATTGTCTTTATGAGTTTTATAACCATTGCAAGCAATTTTTACCGTCTGCTTTGGATATGTTGTGGCCAACTCATTTTCAGCCAAGTTGTTTGCTTTTCTGATTTTTCTTTCCCTATTTCTCTGAGGATTTAACCCTGTGTGGGAAGAAACACTGACGTTTACAGTCCACATGCCAGAAATCGCTTTGGTTAGGTTCCTTGTGTGGGATCATGATCCCATTGGACGAGATTTTGTTGGACAAAGAACCGTGACCTTCAGCAGCTTAGTGCCTGGTAGGTATGAGCTAGCCTTTTCTCTCTAGACTGGCCATTCCTTTTTCTCTGGAAGATGTAATACATGATATATTACTTACATAATAGTATATGTGATATATAAAATATATGTCATATGATACATGTGACTTTTAACAAGCTTTGTAAAAATGTGCAGTGGGTCACACGTGTAATCCCAGTACTTTGGGAAGCCGAGGCAGGTGGATCAGTTAAGGCCAGGAGTTCAAGACCAGCCTGGGTAATATGGTGAAACCCTATCTCTACTAAAAATACAAAAATTAGCCAGGTGTGGTGGTGGGCATCTGTAATCCCAGCTACTCAGGAGGCTGAGGCAGGGGAATCACTTGAACCCAGGAGGTGGAGGTTGCTGTGAGCCGAGATCATGCCACTGCATTCCAGCCTGGGTAACAGAGCAAGACTCTGTCTCAAAAAAACAAAAACAAAACTATAGACAAGTCAGATACTTAATTATATTTCACCCATGGGAAAGCCAAATGCAAGTTCAGTTAAAAAGAAATGACTCTCTTTTCTTTTATCAGGTTACCGACATGTCTATTTGGAAGGACTGACAGAAGCATCCATATTTGTACACATAACCATCAACGAAATCTATGGAAAGGTGAGAAAGACCATAGGGTTTAAAGTCACTACACTAATATGGTCCTCAACAATGCTACTGATTAGTTGCATAATAGGAATGTAAATTTTGACAAACTGTACTTGAACCAAAGACTACAAGGAAGCCCAGCAAGCTCAGTTTGCTATTCCAGTCATGTCCTGATCCACCTGTACTCTTTTCACTGTTTAAGGGTGTGTACTCGTTCCTTCTATACTGGGGCCCTCTCTGGGCTTAATAGAATTGAGAAAACTATTATTCTCTCAGGCAACAATTTGTTTGACTAAAACAGTGAAGATATGACTAAACATTGAATTGTATTTTAATCCTTAAAAAGACTCCGCTGGGCCGGGCGCAGTGGCTCAAGCCTGTAATCCCAGCACTTTGGGAGGCCGAGGCAGGTGGATCACGAGGTCCAGAGATCAAGACCATCCTGGTCAACATGGTGAAACCCCGTCTCTACTAAAAATACAAAAAATTATCTGGGCACGATGGCTCATGCCTGTAATCCCAGCTACTCAGGAGGCTGAGGCAGGAGAATTGCCTGAACCCAGGAGGCGGAGGTTGCGGTGAGCCGAGATCACGCCATTGCACTCCAGCCTGGGTGACAAGAGTGAAACTCCGTCTCAAAAAATAAAAATAAAAAGACTCTGCTGACCTCAGTGGGAAATGAAGTGTCTCAGATGGTTGACGAACTACCTGTACTAACTAGACTGTGATCCCAGCTGCTTCTAGGCAGGCTACATTCATATGGTACCATTGTTTTTAACTGAAAATCTAAAAATTGTGAATGAATTTTAAAGCTACCTATGGGACTGAAATGGAGACCACAAAAAATACATTCTGGTTCTTTCCTGATGCTGTTGTCTTGGTTATAGAACTCATTTGAGGTTTACACATCAATAGGTTGTCCTCTGGTCATGTCAAGTAATTGGGGACTTGGCTACTGGTATGAATTTTCAGGACCACATGGGATTTGGAAGGACTGTTAAAGCATTGAATGGGGCCTAGAAATGTCCAGTGCTCTTTACCAGAAAATCTGTCTAGCTGGAAGCTTTCTCAATCTGTGAATGTGGGATAAAAATAGTACCAACCTCATAAATAAATATAGACCTTGTCTTTGGAAAGCTGCCTGGTACATAGTAATGCTCAGAAATACTGGCTAATATTAATGTTATTATGACTGTAATCCAGTTAATAAGGAATGGACCATTTCAGGCTAAAGTGGGGAATATAATGTTTATTTTCATATCAGTCAGCAAAGCCATGGGTCTTAATTTGTGGGTGTGAGGATCTTAATTTCTAAGACTGGTGCAGTTTTATACCATAACTTTCTGTGTTTAGTTCTGAACTTCTGTTTGCACTGCATTTTGGGATCTTGCCTCTCCCGCTAGTCGCCACAAATGTAAACAATTCAAAAACGATTCTTGAATACTAGGAATCCCAGGTTAACTACAGATTATCTGTAGCATTTATCATGTTGAGGGAAACAATTAAATTCTGAATTTGTTTAAAACTTGAGCCAGAAATAATTAAAATCTGAATGTGTTCTATATCACCTCTATCCTCTCTCCTAAGTAAATGTCCACTCATGAGTCGTATTATATATTCCTTTCAAGAGGGGTTCGGGTTGGGATCCACATGTCACAGTGTAGTGGTATCAGTTGAACAATGAATAAGCATAAGACTGAAAATCCCCAAAAGTAGGAGAAAGGGTTTATAGACATGTATGCATTTTTTCTTTTGTGTTTACCTGTGCCACCTTCTTCAGTGAGCCCCAATTGTGTTTTGTTGTGTTTGTTTTTTCCTTTACAGTGGAGCCCTTTAATACTCAACCCCAGTTATACTATATTGCACTTTCTAGGAGCTACAAAGGTAGTTTCTCAGCATGGTGCTTTATTCTGGCTGGCATATTTCTTTTTAAGTGGTTATGGCAGCATGCTTTTTCATATCACTCCATTTTCCTGCTTACCACTTTGAAACATGCATCTGTTGCTTTAAGGTGCCTGAAGTTTGTAGCAGTCTGTTAGTTGTGGAGACTTTTCCTACCACTTTGTCATCTCTGGATAGGAAACGTCTGGGAAAGCTTGATGTGAGAATGGAAGGCTGAAGTCCTTGCAAAGTAAGGTTGATAGGATGTGCATGAAGTTGTGCAAACATGCTGTGAGCTGCTGCTTTCTTGGTTTGAATATATTTCAATGGCTGTACAATTTTGGTTTATATTCATTTTTCATGGAGCTGTCATTTTAAAGGCAAGTTGTTGACACGATGGCATTTTCTTAACTTGTGGTTGGTCCTTTTGTGTCTTCAGAACAGACAACTCCAGGGTCTGAAGGGACTGTTCAATAAGAATCCTAGGCACAGTTCTTCAGAAAACAATTCTCATTATGTACGGAAACGATCAATTGGAGATAGAATTCTGCGACGCACGGCCAGCGCCCCGGCCAAAGGAAGGAAAAAGAGCAAAATGGGCTTCCAAGAAATGGTGGAGATAAAGGATTCTGTGTCCGAGGCCACAAGAGATCAAGATGGCGTGCTGAGGAGGACCACACGCAGTTTGCAAGCACGCCCTGTCTCTATGCCCATTGACAGAAACCTTCTGGGAGCTTTGTCTCTGCCCTTATCAGAAACAGCAAGAGACACTGAAGGAAAAGAAAACTCTCTGGGTAAGATGCTTTAAGTTTCTCTAAGACTAAACCCTTCTAGGCTGCATTTCAGTCCCTGATTACCATTATGAAGTGGTTGACATTCTGTACTCAAAGTAAAATATACTGAAAAATCAATAATTTTTAATGTGATCTAGTAGACCAGAAGATTTCAAACTTTGGGGGCCAGGTAGATCCATTTTCTCCTCACCAAGAGCTTTATAGTATCAACGTCTGAAATTGACAGTGAGGGATAGGGGAGCCATTAGGTGTGATGGCGCAGAGAGGAAGGTGAAACCTGCAAAATAAGATTCCAAATATTTGTTTTCCAAATGAGTGCCATATTTACTGATTGTTCTGAGGGTGAATATGGTTGTATTACTTTTCTTACCATACAATCTTTCCATGGTTGGAAATGTTTATGGAGAAAGAAAGCCAGATGTTGAAAACAAGCCACCTTTTTCAAAAACAAGCAAATCTTTTTTTTCCTCAAAAGGTGGCTCAGGCAGTGTTTCTCTATGGTCTCACTTCCCTGATCCTTAGATGCTGGCAGGAATGGAGGCATGCCTGCAGCTTCAGCATGGTTGTGGGCTCCACAAACATAGGGACCAGGTGTTGCCTGTCTTTTTCCTTAATTTGAGTGTATCATTGACTCATATTGTGAGCTCAATAAAGAGTGAAGACTGCTTTGAAGTGTGGCAGAGAACTTTTGACTACTGTCGGTGACTCCTATCCCATCCTATCTGAGGGTAAATTTAAGTGCCAAAACTATGTCCATTTGATGCCTATACAACAAATACGTTTTAATTAAATCAGAATCACCTCAGACAAGTAAAATGTGGTACTGATCTCCTTTAGCAAAATTGTTCATTTATCTTTTATCAAATGTTCTAATTTCAGTGATTTCTTTTCCCACAACCATCATTTTTCTTGTATTGATTTTTGTTATAAGATATTCTTGAATGGTTTATTTGAAGGAGAAAAAAGAACATTTAAAAACTTGAAATTTTGCTAAGAGGAGTGTCACAGAAGAGATAAAATGTATGCCTTAAAATGTATTTAAAAACCCCATCTTTGGGAAGAATAAAGCTGTATTCAATAGAAGTTGGTTCTATCCTGTTAATGCCACAGTTAAGATGTTAATACCATTAAGGTGAGTTAGAAAGCAATTTTGAGGTGATGTTTCTTTTCTACTTTTAAAAAACAGTTATATAAATTAGTCATGTATGTTATAAATGTAATATACATGACTTTGGTAAATATAAAACAATACACAGTTATATTACAGAAAAAACCATTAAGCACAGAAAAAGCAGAATACAAAATTCTATATATTATTCACTTCTTCTGCAAAAGCTTACAGTGACAGCATCATACGGTATTTAATTTTTCCTTTATAATTTTTTGAGGTTTTCAAATGTTTATGATGACTATTTTTAGTTTGGAAACTAGTAAGTTAAACAAATTCTTTTTTCTTATACAGCATGACTTTGAAAGCATTATTAAAATAATCTGATCAAGAATTAAATACCTTATATTCTCCTAGCAGTATGCTAACCATGATGGGATATCCCAAATTATGTGAATTGCATTTTTACGATTTTCCTTTACTGTGCCTAACAACTCACTGCCACTTTTAGGGAAAGATGCAATATGAAATTTGCGTATTAAAAAGAAATATATGATTAACCAAAAATTAGATATTGGCAATGACATGGAATTGACAGCCAATTTTTTTCTTTACATTTTAACTCTACAGATATTGATATTTTAATGCATTTGTTGCACCTTCCAATTATTTTAGAAACTAACTGATTAAATGAAATATGCTGCCAAAATGTTTTAAAAATGATGTTATTTATGTTTTTCTTCTTCTTCTTCTTTTTTAACTGATACATGTATAACTGAAAGCTTATAGTATCTTGCTTACAGGTACCACAATGCTTTGTTTAACAGAGCTGTCTTGTTCTGTTTTTATTGCCATGCTTCTGTGTAGTACAAATCTGAATAGGAAACAACTTAAGGTAATCCTCACTGTAAAAGTATGGTAACTCATTGACATTTTTTTGACAATGAATATTACATCCTTTACAGATGTAATAGATATTCAAAGGGAAGCTTCAGTGAAATTCCTATAAGTATATTTTACCATTTATTCATCACACAGACACTTCGTTGCAAACCTATGCAATCCATAATTATATTCTGTCACAGTGTAACAGATTTACATTTTCCATTTGTCTGTCTGAAGACAACATGAGTGTTTGCAGGTCCTACATAAACTGATACATGTCATCTAAAATGTTGTTTGTTTCCTTCAGCAGAGGATAAAGATGGCAGAAGGAAAGGGAAAGCAAGTATTAAAGATCCACATTTTCTAAATTTCAACAAAAAGTTATCTTCCTCCTCCAGTGCTCTTCTTCACAAAGATACCAGCCAAGAGGATGCCATTGTATCTACTGCCCACATGTCAGTCACAGGAGAACAGTTGGGCGTTTCAAGGCCTAAGGGTGGGAGAATTGCATCAAATGCCACAAGTGATTGCCAGGAAAATCCCTGTCCCAATAATTCTCTCTCCCCAAGGCAGCATTTGGCTTCTGATCCTATAGTTAACCCCACACAAGATCCGCATGGTGTGAAAATCAAGGAAAAGGGGAATGCCGAGGGCTTTGTGGAAGGGAAAAGCATCTTGTCAGGAAGCATCCTTTCTCATAGCAACCTAGAAATTAAGAACATGGAAGGTAGTGGAGGCAAGGGCCGAGCTGCAACATCCTTTTCTTTGTCAGATGTCTCCGTGCTCTGCTCTGATAAACCTGACCTACATTCAACTGCAATTCTGCAGGAGAGTGAAATTTCCCATCTTATTGACAATGTCACTTTAACAAATGAGAATGAGCCAGGCAGTTCCATCTCAGCCCTGATTGGCCAGTTTGATGAGACCAACGATCCAGCTATCACAGTTGTGTCTCATCTTCAAAATACCAGTGTGATGTCAGAACATTGTCCCCTGCCTAGCCTGGGCCTAAAAATGTCCATCAAGCATAGTTTTTCCAAGGGAAAATCCACGTCTTCCTTCCTGTGCTCATCTCCGGAGCTGATAGCACTCTCGAGTCCTGAAACCACCAAACATGCAACATATACAGTTTATGAAGCTACCTGCTCTCCCATCTCTAAAACCAAACCAGATGATGACCTTTCTAGTAAGGCCAAGATAGGGGCCGTAGAAAGCAGCCTGCCTGGGTCGCCTAATACTTCTCATGGCTGGTTACCAAAAAGTCCTACCAAGGGAGAAGACCGGGAAACACTGAAGAGATGCAGCCCAGCTTCTTACCCTGATTTGACCCTGGAGGCTGATCCCACTCTCTGTTTCAATTCGGGGGAGAGCAGCCTTGTGGAAATTGATGGAGAATCAGAAAATCTTTCTCTAACAACTTGTGAATATAAAAGAGAGGGCACAAGTCAACTTGCTTCTCCTTTAAAACTCAAGTGCAGTCAGGATGTGGTAGAACACTTGCAGAGAGGTTTGAGAAATGGCTACTGTAAAGAGACCCTCCACCCTTCTGTCCCTGAAATAGTCAACAATATTCAAGATGTCAAAACTCAAAGTATTTCTTATCTAGCCTATCAGGGTGCTGACTTTGTGCATAACCATCTCTCAAATTCAGATGCAAAAATGTTCCAGACCTGTGTGCCCCAGCAGTCTAGTGCTCAAGATATGCATGTCCCTGTACCCAAGCAATTGGCACATCTTCCTTTGCCTGCTCTGAAACTGCCCAGTCCTTGCAAATCCAAAAGTCTAGGGGACTTAACATCAGAGGACATTGCCTGCAATTTTGAGAGCAAGTACCAGTGTATTAGTAAGAGTTTTGTTACAACCGGCATTAGAGACAAGAAGGGCATGACTGTGAAGACAAAATCGTTAGAGCCTATAGATGCCCTGACGGAGCAGCTTCGGAAGCTTGTGTCCTTTGACCAGGAAGACAACTGCCAAGTGCTATATTCAAAGCAGGATGCCAATCAGCTCCCCCGGGCACTGGTCAGAAAGTTGTCATCCAGAAGTCAGAGCAGAGTGCGCAATATTGCTAGTCGTGCCAAGGAGAAACAGGAAGCCAACAAGCAGAAAGTTCCAAACCCCAGCAATGGGGGAGGAGTGGTTCTTAGACACAAACCCTCAGCACCCACCCCTGCGGTGAATCGCCACTCCACCGGCTCCTACATCGCAGGCTACCTGAGGAACACAAAAGGGGGTTGCCTTGAAAGCCGGGGCATCCCAGAGGGGGCATGCACAGCTCTTCGCTATGGCTACGTTGACCAGTTTTGTTCAGATAATTCTGTTTTGCAGACTGAGCCAAGCAATGATGATAAACCAGAAATTTATTTTCTTTTGAGACTGTGAATTATGTAAAACTGCATTCTTAAGGTTTACGAGGTATTCCGTAGAATGTCAGAATTTTCAGTTTTCCGTAAATAAGTTCCTTGGCTTGGGAATGATTTTCAGATGTATTTTTAAACTTGTATTTGGGTCTCCCTCTGACTTCATGTGTTCTCCCTGTTAATGTGTTTGTATATAGATTTGGTAACATTTCCCATGTATCTATTATGATCTTTCTCCCTTGAGGTGTTGTAAACTATATCAGTATGAAATGTGTGCATGCCCTAGATGTGAAACTCCTCAGCAGCTCGGGTTATAATGTGTGTATGTTTCACCAAGATATCCTTTACTGTGTCCTCAGATTGCAGTCACAAATGTAGTCATTTTTACTCTCTAACTGTTGAGTTGATTAAGAGACCTTGCAAACAACAAAGGGATGAATTCCTTACTTTAATTTGTTATCATTTTTTCTGTGTTTCCCTCTTTGTTGAGAAGTCCAGATGCATTTTCTTTTTTGACATGGAGTCTCAACTCTGTCGCCCAGCCTGGAGTGCAGTGGTGCAATCTTGGCTCACTGCAACCTCCACCTCCCGGGTTCAAGCTATTCTCCTGCCTCAGTCTCCCAAGCAGCTGGGATCACAGGCACCTGCCACCACACCTGGCTAATTTTTTGTATTTTTTTTTTAGTAGAGACAAATTTCACCATGTTGGCCAGGCTGGTCTTGAATTCCTGACCTCATGACTCACCTGTCTCGGCCTCCCAAAGTCCTGGGATTACAGGTGTGAGCCACCGCACCTGGCCTCCAGATGCATTTTTATAACTCAGTTTTTAAAAACTTAAAAATAGTTACCTGGCCTTTTAGGATGTTCTCATCCCACCCATAATGAGAGTTTAAAGGGGATTGATAGCCGCTCCCCATGCCCTCCCCACTTTTTAGAATAGGCTACGAGAGTATGAGGAAGAAGGCCGTCTTTTGTACATAAGGACAAAATTGTTTGTTTTACATAAATTTTGTTACATATTTTTGCTAATGGCTTTGTATGTAACAAGAAGTCAGTTGCCAAACCACTTGTACTTTTGAATTTCCTGATTGAATTATAGACTGCAAACAATGGCTTTCAGAATGAAGGACTTCCATCAGACTAATGATAATAGTAGCACAAATTGAAAACTTCCCCAAAGCTTTCAAAAAATATTTTCTCATAATAAAATTCAAGTGAATAGATAATTAGAAGAAACCTTTTTCCTTCAGGGAACGAAGCACTCTATTTTAGTACTGACATGCATTATTTTCACTGTGAATTCATTTTTATTGCATGTTCAGATGCCCCTCTTTTTTTTTTTTGTAACATTAACTGCAATGATGTTCTTCTTGGAATTCACGAAAATATAATTAAAACACATTTTTAAACACTGGTGAACTTTTTTTAAATTGAAATTCCTATGACTATTGAATAAAAGCACTCAGAGCACTGGGACATACTTTCCATGTGTTTGTGGCAACATAGAAAGCTATCACAGAGGGCAGTTTTAAGCAGGAATTTATGTCTCTGAGTGTTTTCCTTATGCTTTAAAGAGGATATTTGTGAGGTGATTTGAAAGAAAATCAAATGTGATGAGTATCTTTGCATTTGGTATTGCTATTGCAAGTTTAAAAATAAGCCTTCTGAACTGGTTGTGGTGGTGGGCAGTGGGAAGGGAGTGGTAGTAGTGGTCATGATGGTGGTGGTAGGTGGGGGAGCCATGTGAGGAAGGCAAGTGAGATGCTATGTTTGGCAAGTGAAATTGTCTGAAGCTCTGTGATGTGGGGGAAGAGTGCAGAGGAGAACGCTTGGTCTCTGGTTCTCTTGGTCCCCAACTCTGAGCTTTTCCCCAAGGTTGGGGTCCTTTATTTTCTGGACAGGCAATGGGAATCTGGTTGGGAGCTGATGTGTAATGGTGAAAGGATGGATGACCCATTTCTATGCCCTTTGTGAGCCCAAGACATTTTTGTTTTCTTGGGGGCTCTGAACCCCCTAAATTCTATCCTTAGACCTTGGTTTGTTTTTAAGGTATTCTTGTTTTAGAAGGGATCGACATGATTATACTTGTTAAAATTCGCTTGCCAAAAAATAGAATTTAGCTGCATTTTAGGATTTGATGGTATATTTCCCCCCCCAAAAAATCCAGGAGTTTACATTTTTTTTTGTTAAGGTAAACACTGACATTTTATAGACTAGAATTAGGAGATTCTGAAAATTGTGGGAAGTAAAATACAAGCAATTTTAGAAAATAGGTAGGGAATGTTTCTAACACAAATAAAAGACTAATATTTAAGGTGATAGATATCCCAGGTACACTGATTTGTTCTTTACAAATTATATGAATGTATTAAATTATCATATGTACCTCCTCCCAAAAGAAGAAAATAGGTTGGATTCACAGTACTTCTGGCTCTCCCAGGAAATATTCATTTTCCTTTGCTCCTTAAAGTTCTTAAATGGAAATATTTGATAAGCAAATTTGATAAGGGACTGGGATTAAATCAAGTTCATTTTGAAGATGAAAACACTGAGACTCAGTATGCTTATACCATTAAGTATAATCCATTAGCACATTCATTTAGCTGATACTTTCTCTTTAAAAAAAATCAGAAGCACATATTACTTCTTGGTGAATATTGAATTTAAATCCTCTTAAAATTTTTTTTTTAGTTTTCATTTGTGTGGGTACACAGTAGGTGCCTATATGTATGGAGTACCTAAGATGTTTTGATATAGGTATGCAATTTGAAATAAGCACATCGTGGAGAATGGGGTATCCATTCCCTCAAGCATTTGTCCTTTGACTTATACTTTGACTTATGAACAAGCCAATTATACTCTTTATTTTAAAATATACAATTAAATTATTATTGATTATAGTCATTCTATTGTGCTGTCATATAATAGGTCTTATTCATTCTTTGTATTTTTTTTTTTTTTTGTACTCATTAGCCATCTCCACCTCCACACTCCCAGCCTCTTGCTACACTTCCCAGCCTATGGTAACTATTCTACTCTATGTCCATGAATTCAATTGTTTTGATTTTTAGATCCTACAAATAAGTGAGAACATACAATGTTTATTTTTTCTGTACCTGGCTTATTGCACTTAACATAATGATCTCCAGTTCCATCCATGTTGTTGCAAATGGTGATCTCATTCTTTTTTATGGCTGAATGGTACTCCGTGGTGTATATGTACCTCATTTTCTTTATCCATTCATCCACTGATAGACACTTAGGTTGCTTCTAAATCTTAGCTAATGTAAGCAGTGCTGCAACAAACATCGGAGTACAGATATCTCTTCAATATACTGATTTCCTTTCTTTGGAGTATATACCTAGAAGTGGTATTGCTGGATCATATAATAGCTCAATTTTTAGTTTTTTGAGGCACTTCCAAAGTGTTCTCCATAGTGATTATACTAATTTACATTCCCACCAACAGTGTACAATAGTTCCCTTTTCTCCACATCCTCACCAGCATTTGTTATTGCCTGTCTTTTAGATATAAGCCATTTTAACTGGGGTGAGATGATATCTCATCGTAGTTTCTATTTGCATTTCTCTGATGATTGATGATGTTGATGATTGATGATATCTTTTCGTATGCCTGTTTGCCATTTGTATGTCTTCTTTTGAGAAATATGTATTCAAATATTTTGCCCATTTTTTGATCAGATTATTAGATTTTTTTCCATAGTGTGGTTTGAACTCATATATTCTGTTTATTAATCCTTGTCAGAGGGGTTGTTTGCAAATATTTTCTCTCATTTTGTGGGTTGTCTCTTCACTTTGTTGATTGTTTCCTCATAACGTTCCAGATCTTAGAGGAAAGGTTTTCAGTTTTTCCCCATTCAGTATGATACTAGCTGAGGGTCTGTTGTACATGGCTTTTATTGCATTGAGATGTGTTCCTTCTAGCCTCGGTTTTTTGAGGATTTTTATGATAAAGAAATATTAAATTTTATCAAATGCTTTTTCAGCATCAATTTAAATGATAATATGGTTTTTATTCTTTATTCTGTTGATCTGATGTATCACATTGACTAATTTGCATATGTTGAATCATCCATGGTTGATAAATTACACTTGGTCATAATGAATGCTCTTTCTAATGTATTGCTAAATTTGGTTTACTAGTATTTTGTTGAGGATTTTTGCATCAATATTCATCACAGATATTGTCCTGTCATTTTCTTTTTTTGATGCATCTTTTTCTGGGTTTTGTGTTCAAGGTAATGCCTTATAGAGTTTAGAAGTGTTCCTTCTTCCTCTATTTTCTGGAATAGTTTGAGTAGAATTGGTATAAGTTATTCTTTAAATGTTTGGTAGAATTCAGCAGTGAAACCATCAGGTTACAGGCTTTTCTCTACTGGGACACTTTTTATTACAGCTTTGATCTCATTATTTGTTATTGATTTGTTCAGGTTTTGGATTTCTTCCTGGTTCAATCTTGGTAGGTTGTATATATCCAGGAATTCGTGAATTTCTTCTAGATTTTCCAGTTTATTGGCATATAGTTGCTCATGGTAGCCACGAATGATTCTTTGAATTTCTGCAATGCCAGATTTAATGTCTCTTTTTTCATTTCTCATTTTATTTATTTGGATCTTATTTATTAGTCTGGATAAAGGTTTGTCAATTTTGTTTAACATTAGAAAACCCTAGCTTCTTTTTAATTGATCCTTTGTAATTTTTTTCATTTTCATTTTATTTATTTATGCTCTAATCTTTATTATTTTTTCTACTAATTTTGGGTTTGGTTTGCTTTGCTTTACTAGTTCTTTAAGATGCATTGTTAGATTGTTCATTTGAAGTTTTTCTTTTTAAAGGTAGGCACTTTTAGCTATAAATTTCCCTCTGAGTACTGTTTTTGCGGTATCCCATAGGTTTTGGTATTATGTTTCCATTATCATTTGTTTCAAGAAATTTTTAAATTTTCTTCTTAATTTCTTTTTGAACCAGTGGTTATTCAGAAACATATTGTTTAATTTCCATATATTTATATAGTTTCCAAAATTTCTCTTGTTATTAATTTTTAGTTTTATTCCATTGTGGTCAGAGAAGATGCTAGATATTATTTCATTTTTTAAAAATGTTTTAAGACTTGTTTTGTGACCTAACATATATGGTCTGTCCTTGAGAATGATCCATGTGCTAAGAAAAAGAATGTGTATTCTGCAGGTCTTGGGTAAAGTATTCTGTAAATACCTATTAGATCCATTTTGTCTGTAGTGCAGGTTAAGTCTCATGTTTCTTTGTTGATTTTCTATCTGGAAGATCTGGCTAATGTTGAAAGTGGAGTGTTGATGTCTTTCACTATTATTGTATTAAGGCCTTTCTCTCCCTATAGCTCTAATAACACCTGCTTTATATATCTGGATGTTCCTTTTTTAAGTGCATATATGTTTAAAATTGTTATATCTTCTTGCTGAATTGACCCCTTTATCATTATGAAATGATCTACTTTGTCTCTTCTTATCATTTTTGTCTTGAAATCTATTTTGTCTGATAGAAGTATAGTGACTCCTGCTCTTTTTTTGGTTTCCATTGGCATTGAATATCTTTTCCCATCTCTTTATTTTGTGTTTAGGTGAAGTGTGTTTCTTGTAGGCAACAAATCAATGGGTCTTGTTTTTTCATTATACAGCCAGTCTGTCTTTTGGAGAGTTTAGCCCATGTACATTCAATGTCATTATTAGGAATAAGTAAGCAGGAATAAGCAAGGACTTACTCCTCCCATTTTGTTATTTGTTTTCTAATTGTTTTGTGGTCTTCTCTTCCTACTTTCCTTCCTGTCTTCCTCTAGTAAAGGTGCTTTACTCTGATGATATAATTTAGCTTCTTGCTTCTTATTTTTTTTTGTGTGTGTGTATCCATTCTGTCTTTTGCTTTCCATGAGGCTTACAAATGGTATCTTGAATAACCCATTATTTTAACCTGATAACAACTTAACATTATTTGCATAAACAAACAAGCAAAAAGAAAACTAATAAAAGCTCTATGCTTTAACTTCATCCTTCCACTTTTTAACTTTTTGTTGTTTTTATTTATATCTTATTGTACTGACTATGTCTTGAAAAGGTGTTGTAGTTATTGATTGGTTCATCGTTTAGTCTTTCCACTATGGATAAGAGTAGTTTACACAACACAGTTATAGTGTTATGATAATCTGTGTTTTTCTCTGTACTTATTATTACCAGTGAGTTCTGTACCTTCAGATGATTATTTATTTCTCATTAATGTCCTTTTCTTTCTGATTGAAGTACTCCCTTTAACTTTGCTTATAGGACAAGTCTGGTATTGATGAAGTCCATCAGCTTTTGTTTGTATGGGCAAGTCTATTTCTCCTTCATGTTTGAAAGATATTTGTGCCAGATATGCTATTTTAGGGTAAAAATTTATTTTCCTTCGGCACTTTAAACATGTCATGCCTCTCTCTCCTGGACTGT